CGCCTATATCCCTACCTCAGACGCATCCAACTCCACTATGAACGGGAGTGATGGATCGGGGTGGGCCAGTACCGGGGCTGAGGTGAACAGACCCCACAGTTTGCTGAAGGCCAGATCAGCCTCAGCAGACCAGCGGAGCCGGGACGGTCCACCCGTCAACAGGGATGTAATGGGCGCTGTGACCTTGCCAAAGCCCCGGATAAACCTCTGATAGTAGTTGGCGAAGCCAAGGAAGCGCTGCACCTCCTTAACCGTGGTTGGAGTCGGCCAATTACGCACGGCTGAAATGCGATCTCCCTCCATCTTCACACCTGAGGTGGTAATGCGGTATCTGAGGAAGGAGACGGACTGCTGGAAAAACATACACTTCTCTGCCTTGGCATAAAGGTCATTTTCCAACAGTCAGGCCAGCACTTTGCGAACCAGGGACACATGCTCGGCTTACATAGCAGAATACACCAGGATGTCATCGATGTAGACCACCACACCGCGACCAAGCATGTCCAGAAACACTTTGTTCACAAAGGACAAACCGTAGGGCATCACCAGGTATTTATAATGCCCCGTGGTTGTGCTGAATGCTGTCTTCCATTCATCCCCCTCCCGAACACGCACCAGGTTGTGTGCACTCCTGAGATCTAATTTGGTGAAGAAGCGCGCCCCATGCATTGACTCAATCACTGAAGGAATGAGGAGGAGAGGATAACTAAATCTTATCGTCTCCTTGTTCAGTGATCGATAATCAATGCACGGGCGCAGACCGTTGTCTTTCTTCTTCACAAAGAAGAAACTTGAGGAGGCGGGTGAAGTGGAGGGACGTATATTCCCCTGGCCCAGGGACTCGGTGACACATGTTTTCATAGCCTCCGTTTCAGCCTGCGACAGGGGGTACACATGACTCCTGGGATGTACAGCGTCTACCCGAAGGTTTATCGCACAATCCCCCACCCGATGAGGTGGTAATTTTGTCACCTGTGTCTTAGAAAACGCGTGTGCCAGATCATGGTATTCGGGGGGAATGCGCACGGTGGAGGTTGCACCAACGGAAACACCTAGACACCTACCCTGACACTCTCGCGACCACCCCGTGAGAACCCTCTGCGGCCATGAGAAAGTGGGGTTGTGGAGTGTTAGCCAAGGGATACCTAATACCACAGGGAAAGCAGGAGACTCAATAGTGGAAAACTTAACCTGCTCACAATGAGTCTCCTGGGTGATCATGGTGACTGGTACAGTGATTTCCTTTACAATCCCAGACCCTAATGGTCGACTATCAAGTGCTCTGATGGGGAGTGGAATGGATAGTGGAACCAATGAAATGCCTTGATGGCGTGAGAATGCCCTGTCCATAAAGTTCCCAGCTGCACCTGAATCGACTAGCGCCTTACACTGGGGAACTACCATGTGATCGGGAAAGTGGATATGTAGGATACAGTGCGCAGCAGAGGGCTCTGAACGAGTGTGGGTGTTCGATACCTGGGGTGATGCGAGAGTGCCCTGCCTGCCGCCTCCAGGCCCAAAAGAGCGTTGACTATGACGTGTGGTGTACTGTCCCTTCGAGCCACCAGAGTGGCACTGTCGCTGTCGTCCTCCGCTCTCTCGGACAGCAGCTCCACCCAGCTCCATCAGCTCGGGATCCGAGTCGTCCGGGGTGGAAACGGGCAGACCCCTACCAGGACGTCCTCTGGCTGCCAGCAGGTTGTCCAAATGGATGGCCATGTCCACCAGTTTTGTGAAAGACAACATGGTGTCCCGGCAGGCTAGCTCCTGTCGGACGTCCTCCCACAGATGGCACCAGAAATGGTCGATCAGGGCCTGCTCGTTCCACCCGGACCCCGCTGCCAGAGTCCAAAACTCCAACGCGAACTCCCCTGCCTCAGGTGGACCAGCCGCTCGACCGCCTCTCGACCCTCGGGCGGGTGATCGAAGACCGCCCGAAAGAAGCGAGCAAACTCCCCATAGTCCTCCAACGCGGCTCCTCCTTCGTTCCAAACCGCGTTGGCCCACTCCAGGGCTTTCCCCGAGAGGCAGGAAACAAGGACGGACACCCTCTCCTGCTCCGATGGCACTGGCCTGATGCTGGAAAAGTAAAGCTCCAGTTGGAGGAGGAATCCTTGGCAGAGCGCCGCCATCCCGTTGAACGCCCGTGGTCGGGATATCTGGATCCCTCCGGATGCTGGGGTGTAGGTGGCTAGATCCGGCTGGCCAGCTGGTCTCGACAGATCGGGTCCTCTCCTCTCCAGGCGTTGGACGACCTGAAGAACCCGATCCATCGCTTCCCCCAAGCTGGCCAGCATTGTGGAATGCTCCTGGACCCGTGCCACAACTCCAGGCATGCACTCTTCTCCCGCTGACTCCATAGCAGTATGAAAATGTATGCACTCACTAACTGTAAGTCGCTCTGGATAAGAGCGTCTGCTAAATGACTAAAAATGTTGTTGTTTTTTAAGTACAATAGCGGGTGGGTGATTCTGTGATGAGTGTGATAGAAGGAGTCAGGCGCAGGAGGGTAATCACCGAATGCAGAGTTTATTCCGTCGTACACAAAGAGCGCTGGATAGCGACAACCGAAACAGGCACAGGGGAAAATCTACCCTGGCAATACAAGGTAACGGTAGCTCCAACAATAACAGGCACAGGGGAAATATCTACCCCGGCAATATCTCCACCGAGCTACACTACTCTCACGAATAAACAATCACCCACAAGGACAAGGGGGCAGAGGGAACACTTATACATGGACTAATGAGGGGATAAGAACCAGGTGTGTGTAATTAACAAGACAAGACAAATGGAATCATGATATATGGAGCGTCAGTGGTTAGTAAGCCGGTGACGACGAACGACGAAGCCTGCCCGAACAAGGAGGGGAGGCAGCCTCGGCGGAAGTCGTGACAGAATTAGACAATTTCCTGTCCTGCTACAATTTCCTGTCCCTGACACTTTTGGGTGTCAGGGATGTATGGAGTAAAAGTACATCATTTTCTTCAGCATTGTAGTGAAGTAAAAGTAAAAGTAGTCCAAAATATGAATAGTAAAGTAAAGTACAGATACCCCAAAAAACGTAAGTAGTACTTTCAAGTAGGCCTATACACTGTGAATCGCCTTATGTTTATGAACCATCGTTGTCATCCCTTATACCACAGTTGACAATGACATCAAATTCTTTTTTACGCAGATGCATTCAAGAGTAAATGCTGCAAACCTTTCTTGAAATTTTGCCTATTGATTCCACCTATAAAATTATAATCATATGATGTTATACATTTCTGGAAGTAGCCTACACATACACACACACACACACGAGAAGCCTATTCTAAGGCAGAGGTTCTCAAACTTTTTGGGGCCCTTTGTGAAAGCAAATTCATCAGGGACCCCCTCATAATCAGAACACAACTTTGACGTTTTAAAGCGTAAAATACAGTGCATTTATGTACAAAAATTGTTGGTGGAGTACTGTGGATACCAATATTCCTGTGAGCCTCCCAGGCCCATGTAGGCCAGGGTTAAGAACATAACATAAATTGTTAAACTTTAAACTTATTCTAAGTATCCCTTGGCCAAAAGTTGTTTAATCTGTTGTTAGTAATATTCATAGAGAGAGAGAGAGAGAGAGAGAGAGAGAGAGAGAGAGAGAGAGAGAGAGAGCTGATCTGGCCAAGGACTGCCTCATCTGCTGATATGTGAATTGTCCCGTTTACACCTGCTGTATCCTGCACACGTGACAAATAAACTTTGATTTGATTGGAAAACGTCCACTTTTCCACGATAATGCATTGAATTAATGCATGTCTAACTTTCTGCAATGTGCAATAGTTGGCAATAAGGGAATTCACAGTGTGTGGATAGAGGGGATTACCACCCACCAACCAAAGCGAGCACCCAGTTTCGGTGAAGCCTTATTTGATGTTTCACACCACAGAAAAACCGCTCTTTGAACGGTAGAATTCCTATAAGGCTAAATGTTCAAACCAATGTCGCTCATCTCCGTTTGCAGCTATCAAAGCATTTTAAATCCACATTTGCAGCGTGCATTAGAAGCAACTGCTCCGCCCCCCCCCCCCCTCCACCTAATAAAATAAAGTGATTGAAAATGTCTCTTTGATCGCTTTCAAGCCTACCCCACCCTATATGCTTTTTTGAGACCTAGAAAAATATTTGATTCTCTTTGAAAAAGTGTTTGTTTTATTGGTGTTAAAAATGCCACATTTAATTGAAAGAAATTACAATCTGTCAATATTTTCCTGAATAATTGAATCTTCACTGTAATTTTAAAAGTTGTTAAACCAGTTTTATTGTTGTGGTTAGAAAAATAACACTTGTAGGCCTATAAGGTATACATTAGAATGAACTCGTTTTTGATAAAAACAGATGAAATTAGAAAATTCAAACAGAGCTAATTGTAAACTTGTGTTCAATTAAAATTTTCATAATCAAAAATAAGTATACTATATTCTCAAGGGTTAATCCGTTTCTTGGGAAATACCAAAGTGAAGTTATACCAAAAAATACCAAAGTCGTATTCCTACATGTAACAGTCTGACATACATTCAATGAATTCCCAGTTCACTCTCAGAATGTAATTTATACACATATGGCATTTATAATAATATTTGAAATGATGATTGCAATTGTTGATTAATAACCTTTAATCAAATACAGTGTCCATTTATTATCTGACATTATGTGACATTTAATACACTATTTGAAAAAAAGGTTCCAAATGAGTTCTTCGGCAGTCCCCATAGGAGAACCCTTTTTGGTTCTAGGTAGAACCATTTTGGGTTTCATTTAGAAAGGGTTCTACGTGGAACCCAAAATGGTTCTACTTGGAACCAAAAGGGTTCTACCTGGAACCAACAAGAGTTCTTCAAAAGGTTATCCTATGGGGACAGCTGAAGGACCCTTTTAGGTTTTAGATAGCACCTATTTTTCTAAGAGTGTACCGTTACAATATGTATTAATATCTGGGGCTGATTTGTTCTAAGCGACTCTGTTAGCTAGCAGCTGTCTGGACTGAGGTACCTTCTGAACTGGGCCAGAGTGTTGAACCTTCCCCTGAAGCCCCTGTGTATGTCCAGGACCTGGTGTTGCCCCTCACGATCCTCCAGTGGCAGCTGGAGAGGCAGGCTGGGGTACAGGGCTGACTGGGGGAGGCAGGGGGAACCCCAGGGCATCAGCAGGTTGGTATACACTGACCAATGACTAAGATCGGGCAGCAGCAAATTCTGGGGTGGGCATGAAGAGGGGGAGAGGCTGGAGGAAGGGGGGAGAGGGTGAGAAGGGGGAAGGAAGGCTCTATTAGCGGCAGAACGGGGTTCCTCGTCGCCAGGAAGATTATTGCTGGAGGAGACCTGGTGGTGAGCAGCTTTCTCTTGTTCAGCCAATCCACCACTCTCTGGAGCACAAGCTCTTCTTTGGGAGAGGAGGGATGGAAGGAAGAAACTAGGAAGACCTGAATCAAAACCACTCTGAGGACTATGTTGATTGAGACCCACACCACTGCTGGTTATCAATGTAGGGTTTACCATGGTTCTAAGGAACAGCCCCTCCAGATCCTGCTGGTCACCTAAGAGGGAGGTGGGGTGGCCCCAGACCCCTGGCTTGAGGAGGGTGGGTGTTGGGTAGTGCAGTGGAGCTGAGCCATAGGAAGGCAGGGTGGCTGGGCCTGCCTCTTTCCCCAGGTCCATGTGGTACTGCAGGTTGAACACCTTGGACCTCAGCCGGGCGTTTTCCTCACTCAGGGCCAGCAGCTGGCCCTCCAGCATAAGGTCATTCACCCTCTTCTTCTCGCGCGAGCGTTTGGCGGCCTTGTTGTTCTTGTGGCGCTTGTACCAGTAGCTGGCGTCCTTCTTGTCAGTAGGGGTCATCTCTCTCTTGCGGCGTGTACTTGGGGATAGGTGGCTCTGGCATGTCTGGAGCCTCAGTAGTCTCTGGGTCAGAAAGGACGGCCGGGCCACAGGGAAGAGGAGGCCATGGTCCGACGACACCTCCTCCCCACCACTGCTCTCCAACGAGGAGGAGGGCTGGCACATACCCTCCTGGGGCCCGTCCCTACTCCGTGGGGTAGACATGTCACTCAGTAGGCTATGAGAGGACACAGAATCTATTTATTTATTTAACCTTTATGTTATCAGGGAGTCATACTGAGACCAAGGTCTCTTTTACAGATGAGCCCTTTACAGGATAGGCGCTATAGTTTTTAAAAAAATTAAGGAAATATATTAGACTTTAAATATTTATCTTACACAGTAATTTACTTGATAGTAGTTGACTTGATACAAAAGAAGCCAAGGCTGGAATTTCATCAAAATACACTGGAAAAGGTGATATTCATTAGACTATTACAAAATATTGCGAAAAGAGAAAACTATTAACTGTGTTGTAGGTATTTGCCATCATTTTAAAATAAAGTTTTGGTAAGCTATAGGGACCATATTTAGATGTTTTAGGCCTACCTTTGTTTCGCTGTCACGATGTGAAGTGCTTAAGTGATAATGAGACAAGGCGCATCTTACGCTCTGAAAACCTTTAAGCTTCTTGTGTGTGCGTGCACGCATGGTGTGTTAATTTCTGTGTTCGCGCGTCTATGTGGTTGGAAACAGTGCTTACTTTCAGTAGTCTTACCTAGTTTCTTCAGGAGTGCTAAAAGTGGAAATCCTGAGCAAGGTTGTAAAAAAAAAAAGTTAATCAAGAAATGACTCAGTCTGAATTACCCATCCTATGTATCGCTACCATAGCCTGCCTACCTTACAAACATCCTCTCCATAGAAAAGGGCCAGTGTTTGTATATCTGTGGATGAGCCAATGGGCATGTGGTGAGTGGGGGGGTTGTCCAGGCAGTAAGTGGGGGACAGTCCTGTGAGGAAAGGAAGCGTTGTGTTAAACATGTTGTTTGCACTCTTCTGTGAGTAATCCACAGGTCTTCTATAGTTCTGAACTGCCGAAGCTCAACAACTTGCCAGATTCTGTGGTCATGATGACTCATAAAGTCTTGTCTATATTTCCAAAGAACTGAAAAGGTTTAACCACAGACATTCACCTGAATTCGTATCTAGTCCGACTTACCACAAGCATTCTTTTTATGCCATTATACTGTAGAAGTGAAAAAGCAACTGTCTTTGTGGGAGTAAGAATCCATTTTGAGATTTAGTAGACAGGGCTTGTTGTGGTGCTCAGACTTATTATTGGTAGTAATTTCAAGATTCATTCATTTACTTTACAGGTACCAGGGGGCAGTGTTTGGGAAGCTACTCTAAAAATATAGCTTACCAAGCTACCAATTACTTCACACTGGAAGAAGTTAAGCTACACTAAAGCTACCCTTAAGATAAATATAGTTTGGTTATGTGATGAGTGTGATTAGAAGGAGTCAGGCGCAGGAGGGTAAATCACCGAATACAGAGTTTATTCCGTCGTACACAGTTGCGCTGGATAGCAACAACAAAATACAGGCACAGGGGAACAATCTACCCCGGCAATACAAGGTACGGGTAGCTCCAACAAAATACAGGCACAGGGGAATAATCTACCCTGGCAATACAAGGTACGAGTAGCTCCACCGAGCTACACTCAACTCACATGAAACAACCACCCACAAGGACAAGGGGGCAGAGGGAACACTTATACATGGACTAATGAGGGGATATGAACCAGGTGTGTGTAATTGACAAGACAAGACAAATGGAATGATGATATATGGAGCGGCAGTGGCTAGTAAGCCGGTGACGACGAACGCTGAAGCCTGCCAGAACAAGGAGGGGAGGCAGCCTCGGCGGAAGTTGTGACAGGTTAACTAAAGTTACTTTGAAAAAGTAGTTAACTACATCCAAACTACTTTGTGAAAAATTATCATATATAAATCTGTAATGTCACATACTACAAATTGCAAGACAGATCACTTTGGGGTCATATGTTAACATAATGTGTAATTTACCATATTAAACACAAAAACAATGTTTCAAGTGAGAATTAAGCAGGTCTGATGCTGGAAAAACAAGGAAATGATTGCCTACTTCACCCAGATTATATTTTATTTTTGAATAAAATGTAGTGTATAGTTACAGTAGTTACAGTAAATTCAGAAAATATTCAGACCCCTTGACTTTTTACACATTTTGTTACGTTACAGCCTTATTCTGAAATTGATTAAATCGTTTTCCCCACTTATCAATCTACATACAATACCCCATAATAACAAAGCAAAAAACGATTTTACAAATGTTTGAAAATGTATAAAATAAAATCAACGGAAATATCACATTTACATAACTATTCAGACCCTTTACTCAGTACTTTGTTGAAGCACTTTTGGCAGCGATTACAGCCTTGAGTCTTCTTGGGTATGACGCTACAAGCTTGGCACACCTGTATTTGGGGAGTTTCTCCCATTCTTCTCTGCAGATCCTCTCAAGCTCTGTCAGGTTGGATGGGGAGCGTCGCTGCACAGCTGTTTTCAGGTCTCACCAGAGATGTTCGATCGGGTTCAAGTCCGGATTCTGGCTGGGCCACTGAAGGACATTCAGAGATTTGTCCCGAAGCCACTCCTGCATTGTGCGTGCATATGTCTTCACCCCCTTTACTATGAAGCCCCTAAATAAGATCTGGTGCAACCAATTACCTTCAGAAGTCACATAATTAGTTAAATAAAGTCCACCTGTGTGCAATCTAAGTGTCACATGATCTCAGTATATATACACCTGTACTGAAAGGCCCCAGATTCTGCAACACCACTAAGCAAGGGGCACCACCAAGCAAGCGGCACCATGAAGACCAAGGAGATCTCCAAACAGGTCAGGGACAAAGTTGTGGAGAAGTACAGAGTTGTACAGGGTTGGGTTATAAAAAAATATCCACAACTTTGAACATCCCAAGGAGCACCATTTAAAATCCAATATTAAAAAATGGAAAGAATATGGCACCACAAGAAACCTGCCAAGAGAGGGCCGCCCACCAAAACTCACGGACCAGGCAAGGAGGGCATTAATCAGAGAGGCAACAAAGAGACCAAAGATAACCCTGAAGGAGCTGCAAAGCTCCACAGCGGAGATTGGAGTATCTGTCCATAGGACCACTTTAAGCCGTACACTCCACAGAGCTGGGCTTTACGGAAGAGTGGCCAGAAAAAAGCCATTGCTTAAAGAAAAGAATAAGCAAACACGTTTGGTGTTCGCCAAAAGGCATGTGGGAGACTCCCCAAACATATGGAAGAAGGTACTCTGGTCAGATGAGACTAAAATTGAGCTTTCTGGCCATCAAGGAAAATGCTAACCCAACACCTCTCATCACCCCGAGAACACCATCCCCACAGTGAAGCATGGTGGTGGTAGCATCATGCTGTGGGGGTGTTTTTCATCGGCAAGGACTGGGAAACTGGTCAGAATTGAAGGAATGATGGATGGCGCTAAATACAGGGAAATTCTTGAGGGAAACCTGTATCAGTCTTCCAGAGATTTGAGACTGGGACGGAGGTTCACCTTCCAGCAGGACAATGACCCTAAGCATACTGCTAAAGCAACACTCGAGTGGTTTAAGGGGAAACATTTAAATGTCTTAGAATGGCCTAGTCAAAGCTCAGACCTCAATCCTATTGAGAATCTGTGGTATGACTTAAAGATTGCTGTACACCAGCGGAACCCATCCAACTTGAAGGAGCTGGAGCAGTTTTGCCTTGAAGAATGGGCAAAAATCCCAGTGGCTAGATCTGCCAAGCTTATAGAGTCATACCCCAAGAGACTTGCAGCTGTAATTGCTGCAAAAGGTGGCTCTACAAAGTATTGACTTTGGAGGGGGGGGGGGGGTGAATAGTTATGCACGCTCAAGTTTTCTGTTTTTTTTGTCTTATTTCTTGTTTGTTTCACAAGAAATAATATTTTGCATCTTCAAAGTGGTAGGCATGTTGTGTAAATCAAATGATGCAACCCCCCCCCCCCCCCCCCCCCCCCCTCCCCCCAAAAAACATTTAAATTCCAGGTTGTAAGGCAACAAAATAGGAAAAATGCCAAGGGGGGTGTATACTTTCGCAAGCCACTGTATGCTCACAACTGTCCAGTTCTTTCACGTTAGTGTTGATGGAGGTATGAGGAGAGGAAGCCACTTTAAACTATTGTATTACAGTACAGGTTTCAGTTCATTGTGTGGCAAAACCACTTCCTGCCTTTATGCTTGCATGGAATTCTCCTTCTCTGCATACATAGGCCTACAGTATATCAACAAATCGACCCTCTAGCTAGCATATCTATAGGCAAGTAGCAGAACCCTGTCCATCTCACCTCTTCACCCTCCCAACCCCCATCTCATCACAGCTAACGTACACAGGGTGCTGCACCCATGCACAGTATCAAATACAGTACTTCCAGAAAGTGGCTCATTGTGGTGTACTATATACTAGTACACATCAAGTATTGTTTGACAGGTTATGACTCCTCATCTTACATGGCTAAAGAGCTGAGTATCAAAAAAATACTTTAGAAAAATGTAAGACCTTTGGGCTTTGTTTCTTTTGCTTGCTGTTTCTGGTTGTCAGAAGTGTGTGCATGTGCATGTTGACAATTTAACATAATGTAGTGTGAATGCCAAGACGTGGTTCTATTTCAAACCAGAACATGTCTTTATGTTCACCATCTTGGTCGAAAGGCCCTTTTGAAATACTGTAGTCTTTGCATGATCCCTGCTCCTCTCCTGTCGGCTAAGGTGCTAACCACTCTTCACAGGAAATTTCACTGCCTCATTTAGCTCACCGAGTGTCACCTTCTGCCTCAGATGCAGTGTGACTGGGTGACAGGGTGACAGGGTGACTGAGAGCAGAGGTTGGTCAGAGCCTGGCTGGTAGACCCTGGCTGGTAGACCCTTCAAAGAGAAAAGCACAGTTCTCCCACACTGATCCACTCACTCATGGGAAAGATGGACCAGATATAAAGAAGTGGTGAGACGGTACATGTCACATCCAGTAGTATGTAAAGGGCCACAGAGATTATAGTTTGACCTCACAGTGTGTGAAGGTTTACATGGCTGTCATTTGGGTCAGGGCGTTGCGCTGGTTTTGAACTCATGTGAAAGATGCCTTAGTATATGGGTTTGATCTAACCAGGTGAGATGGAGCTAGCTCAAAGGGGCCGCCAGTCCTCTCTCTCAGAAGGCCTGTCTGTGTCAAGATTATGTTGTGCACTGGAGGGCTACAGTTTGACACCAACACAGTGGTAATTGATGTACTCCCAACAAAATATACTGCAGTATATCTGTCCATCCATCTCTCTGTGTGTGGTCATCAATCAGCAACTGTCCCAACGGTTACATGTACTATCTTAAGTAGGCATCCACCTGCTGTGCTATTTCCAGTGGTGTGGTAGATTCACATCGATGTGTGTATGTGTGTGTTTGTGTGTTTGCTGAGGGACATGAGGTTTAGCAGGTATAACAGGCAGCAGTTAAACTGTAGTGGAAAAAGCCTGGCCGACTGGTCTTATTGTCTGTGGAGGTTTGAGATTCCCATGCCACAACGCATCTCAGAAAACCACTCTGCTGCAAGCCCACATTTAAAAATAGATGGAACTGATTGTGTGCACACACAAAGATAGTTGCGTTCAAGGTTTAGTATGGGGCCCTTTTGAGGATAAGACAATATGGGTATGAGTAAAAAACATAACCACATTTAACACTTGTTAAATAGAGTACATACAATTGAACCATATGAACTGGCTGTAAGATATTTTATATGTGCTGACAGAACATGACGTCTTGTTAATGTTTATAAACTGGTAATCAATTGTTGAGTGGCTTGTCAAGCTGCAGTGGTTATTTATAACCACCAGATGGCAATGCAACAGAGAAAAGCATAAGAGGGTGTGCTGACTGAACTATGGATTTGTATGACATCTAAATACATGGCTCTGATTACATATGCCTTTGTACCCTAGAACATGCTTTGAGATAATTAGCTATATATCTTAGGGGCTTTTAAATATGTTTTTATTTCATACTGATACCAATGATAGTCATTGCATGCCACTTCTGATCTTCCAAACAATAATGGTGATAAGTTGCCTTTTCACCTAAAGAAATTGACCAACAGTTTTGATATACAATCCTGACAGTTGCTGTGGTTCCATCGTGATTCCAGGCCATTAAGTAGTTTCCACAGTTGTGGCCACCTTGCCCATCTAGCACATTTGGTTCCTTGGAAGTTGTGGGAACGTGTGTTTTTGGTTTCACATTAGTTGTGGGAAAGAAGCCATACGTTTCCTGACCGTAATACGAAACGTTTTTTAAACGTTCTGAGAACAGAAGTGAATATTTTGCCTGTTCTGGGAATGTTTATTTTTTTAGGTTGCATGGAGGTTCTGAGAACGTTTTACTCTGGTTCCTTGAAAGATTTCCTGGGAGGTTTTATTAACGCTCTGAGAATGGAAATTATACGTTATTTGGAGGTTTTTTAATAACTTCCTTAACTTTCAAAAATACTTTTAATAACAGTGCTAGCTTATTTGGGTTAACTTTTTGGAACTCCAAGCACAGATAGGACACATGGAAATTCATTTCCTTAGACAATAATCATGAAACACATTTCTTTTTTATAGTGATACGGCATCAGTGAGATTCAAACCTATAATCTTCTGTTCTCTATTCATGGAATTAGTCCACTGCACCACCAGGATGGAGCTAGCATGCCATGTTTTGTTATGCATACAAAATTATTAATTTTAGTCCATTCAAACAGACCCCATTACAAAGGAAACAAGCACTCATTAAGATCAGGTGTGGCCAATTAGTGGGAGCGGCCAACACACCTGAACACACCTAACAAGATAGAGGATAGAGAGTTTTGTTAATGCTGAGAACGGAGTGTATATTTACAAAAAAAAAACTTTTGTCACGTTCAGAGAATGTTTTAAGAATGTTTTCTTCTGTTTTATTATGGAAAGTTTTCTTAACGTTCTTGGAACAATTTTGAGAACATGACTTTAAATAGAACCATGAGGAAACCTGTAGGAAAGGTTATGCTGAAGTACTGAAATTCCCACAGAATAATATATATTTTTAACGTTCTCTGAACTATTTAATTATATATTTTTAGGATCTTTTTTAGCCCAAGGGCTAGTCTCCCAAGAGTCCTTACATTTAGAAGGTTGTCAAACCAGTTGGAGAACGTTCCTAGAACATTACCAAAATTGAAATTAAATGTAACCATGTTTGAACTTTAGGAAACATTCTGTTAAAGTAATGAAATACCAAGACATTTTTAAAAAATTGTCAAGTTCCTTAATAATATCATTTTACTGCAGTGGGCTAAATCATGGTCACACAGAGGGTTTCTTGGTATTCTTAAACAAATCTACTTTGAAACAAAAGTATACACCTCACACACATGGTTATGGGCTTGAAGAAAAGAAGACACCTGTACCATGTCAGATATAGTTGAAATGTATTACATTTTGAGTTTGAATCCCAATATTACACTTTATAGAAGACTGAAATATAACAACACCGTTTGACATAGAAACACCGGATAAAAAAATAAAACTTTTATTAATTATGAAATTATGAGAAATATTAATAACATTCCACCCATGAGACCACTAGAGGGCGATTTGGTCATTTGACTGTAGGAAAGGGCTACATGTGCTGAGAATGTTCCAAAGCCAAGCAACTATCCTGCACCATTTCCACCAAGTTGTGGGAAGGTTGTATGCTAAATAACCATAAGACAACCACGCTCTTACTAAGCTCTAAGAAACATATGGTTGTCAGGACGTTATGTGCTAGCTGGGTGGTTTTCTGGTCAGCATCAGTCCTCTGAATGTGGTTGAGAACTTGAAATACACAAGAGGACTGGAAAAATAGTTTAGACCAGAATGGCTATTGAAATACTATAGGTCATACATATTGAATGTATTGTGCCTCTTATTGTATTTTCCTTCATGGATATCTTTGATTATCACAATGCAGTAGTGAGTTAACAGAACATGTCACTAAATAGCAGACGATGTTATGCCATAAACAATCTAATTGCTTATGGCATAACGTGGTATACCGAAAGCACTTTCCTAGTTGAGATGTATAGAGGTTTTTCATCATGTTGGTAAGCCAATAAATTGGGCTTTGTGTAGACATGAGCTTCCCTTTGAGGATAAAGACATAGCAGCCACCCATGGGAGGAAGCTCACTGTGCCCCTCCGTCCTCATCTCAGTCCTCCTGCAGCTTGGAGTGCACTAATATAGAGAGAGGGATAGAAGGAGGGAGGGAGAGAGAAGAAGGGAGAAAGAGAGAGAGAAGGAGAAAGAGGGAGAGAGAAAGAGAGAGAGAGGGGAAAAGATAGTAGAGAGGAAGCGGAGGAGAGAAGGGAGAAAGAGAGAGAGAAGGAGAAAGAGGGAGAGAGAAGAAGGGAGAAAGAGAGAGAGAAGGAGAAAGAGGGAGAGAGAAGCCCTCAGCGAGAGAGCCTGAAGAGGGAGAGCGAAGGAGTGAGCTAGATGCCCCCGCGGGAGAGGAGGCCGCGTTCTACTTTGGGGGATAATGTGAGAACGACAGAGAAAATAAAGAGAACGGGAGAGGAGAGAAGGGGATGATGTGGGGGAGAAAATGAGGCCTCTGTGTTGTGAGGGGAAAGAATATAAAACCCATGGTGAAAGGAAATCAGAGCTGGGAGTTTGACCTGGTATTTCCAGGACAAAGATGGTGGCCTATTACCTGCTTATAGATACTTTCACCTGACATTCAGGCCTGTGTTAGTTAGCCTTATTAGCATTGTGACAAAGACTAAATCTAAAAAAGAATTTCCTTGTTTTCTCTAGACCGCTCTCCCATCCTCCTTAAACTATTGAAATTCAGCCAAAGACGTCATTGAGTCCCGCTGTACAGATGAGTATATCTCAATTGTCCAGTGTTGAATGGCCAGGGAGAAGGAGCTGGGGAACGAGGGACCACTGGTGTTTGTGTTCTCGCACTAAACTCTGATAACCTTTCCACCTTTTTCTTTTTTTTCGTCTCTCTCTTCACACTTTGTCCCCGCCCTCCCTCCCTCCCTTCCTTCCTTCCTTCCCCCAGGTAGAATATGTTGATACTGAAGCTACTTGGGAGAGAGAGAGGGGCAGGGACTGAGAGAGGTGAGAGAGGCAGGAAGAGAGGGAGGAACGCCAGCAGGTGAAATGTTATGAAATGCTGTGTAGGATGTATGGAAAGTCACCACCATGTTAATGTTCAGCCGTGGTCTGACTGCTGAGGTCGTTGGTGCGTGCCCCAGTCACCTGGTAACAGGTGTTATGTGACACCCAGAGACACACATGCTATGGAGGGATACTCAAAGGATGCTGTTTACAGGTGAGTGTTATTAATGATTACCTACACAGGTGTTTGTGTGTGAGACATACAAACAATTTAACATTGCGCTATGGATTTGTTAGGAAATAAGTTTCTTAGTTAATTTATTGTGGGAGCTTATTCGAGTTTGTGCTGTTTAAGCTAAAGTGTGAAGGGAGGCTAGTGTTTAGGGTTAGTGTTTGTTGTCATCTGGTAACATTTACCTGTTATCTCTTTTCTTTGTACGGAGAAGAGGGAATTAGAGAGTTATAGCTAAGGAGGTAGAGCCCCTCTCTGTGGCCTGGGTTGACATTCATTCCACTGAATACGATCATTACTCCTCTTTAGGTTATGGTGACAGATGAAAACAGAAGGATATCTACAACCGAACCATGATTCACCGCCTCTTGTTGTGTTACATGTTGACAGTCCTGGCTTAAAATGATTATACTCAAATAGTTGGATCAACACGTTTTACCAACTGCTTACCAAACGAAGACTTTCAACCAAAGCTGGGTTAACTCATGTTCGGTAGGTATTTTGTCATCTGTTGATCGAACGCCTTAAAAGTTAAACCTTGGGACCATTTGAGTTCACACTCAGTCACCTCAAACGACCAGTAGTAACATAGGATTTCTGTTGAGAATAGGTCACAGTCAATGATTTGAGGAGTCGAGATTCACTCTTTCTCTCTGTGTGTTCTATCAGGTTAAGCAAGCATGGCAACAATGTAATAAGTTACAAGGCTGTCATGCGAGTCAATGTTATGAATAACTTGTCTGTTGCTTTCTGATGTTTCACTCTTCCAGAACAGTGTCTGTGATCATTATATCACCATGCCCAAAGGGGATTCTACCACCAACCCTGAAACAGGTTAGTCCAGTCTTTGTGTCCATCCACATTTGCATGAAACAAATGAAAGTGTGTCTAGATGTCAAATAAAGCATCCTATATGTGACCTTTGACCTAGTTTGATAATGACGGAGTGTTTTAAGGTGTCCGGTTTCCTCAGAAGAAGCTATTAGAGTAATTTCTGCCTTCTCCAGGCGCGGGATGGGGGAATAAGATTCCCCCTGAGAGATGGAATAATAACACACTACAGTCTGTCACACACACACACACACACACACACACACACACACACACATGATCTCATCCTACCCCATATGTGATGGACAGTGACGTGACCTGGTCCCTGTGCTATGCCCTCCTCAAATCTCATTGGCGATAGAGAAAGCCCATTTGTAGTTGGAATGGGATTTTTTTAAACTCTGTCTTTAACAGCTATAACTTGGGAGGTGAGAGCAAACAGCCGCCACTTCCACAAACATCGACGGCGGAGATCCTTTCTGTGTTTCCGCTGGGGCCGATATGCCGTGAGTCACAGTACACCGTGTTGTTGTAACCCAACACTGTTGGCACAAACACACTAACCCACTAATTGACAAACACTCACGTCTCCCTCGTGTCTCTCTCTCTATGTTTCTTTCTGTGTCTGTCTGCTGGGTTGCCAGGACAATGTGGTGCGCAGTTTTAAGTACTCCCCTCTGACCTTCCTACCCCTTCACGCTGTACGAACAGTTCCATCGAGCAGCCAACCTTTACTTCCTTCTCATGGTTGTGATGCAGGTCAGACTCTGGGTTTCATTGATCTACTCAGTTAATTTCTATGGTTTCTGAGGATGGGTAAATCTTACAGGGTTATTTGGCCAATATTTGATATTAGTGATTTAATTTATATGTATATATGTTGATAAAGAATGGTAATATTTTCATATTTTGTGATTCAGTGAATGTGGTACTCAATATGTGTGTGTGTGTGTGTGTGTGTGTGGGTGTATTAGTGCTGAGCGAATAGTGCTTTTTGAGGTCAGTTCGGTTTCAGTCCGATTATTAAAACATCATTAGGGTTTTTCAATTTTGGCATCGATACTTTTTTGAAACATTAAATGCATTATGAAATAATTACATTAAAATGATTTTAGAGCTTTTTAATGGAAATTCAAAAGCCAAAAATAGTGAACATTCAATTGCCAAAACATTGAAAATATTCCATTGTCTCTGAATAATAGGAAATTACTATGAAATAATAAAATATTTCAGTTGTGTATATTACTTAGTTTTATTTAATGACTTTATTTTTCATTCCTTAAAGTCATAATCTAATCTCTGTTTAGGCAGTAGCAGCCAGCCAGACCATTTAACGTTATCTCTATGCACCCCATACTGTACTGTCTTTAGTCATCCTATTTAGTTAGGCAAGCCTGCCTAAGTATGCTGCCTAAGTATGTCTGACGAAATCATTTGACTAGTTCTTCAAAGTAAATAAGGCATACTATCACAAACCGTCTCTGTCCCTCTCGTCGTTGTGTGTACATTCCTCTCTCATGCGGTCTATGCGGTGTGTCTATCTAACCTAATGTAGCAGATGTAAAAGTGTATCCGTCTCAGTCCGAGCTGGAAAGAACAGGCACAATGGATTATGGTCATTGAAGGCAATTACCACATTTCTGCACTGAACTAGGTTGAATATTTGCTTGATGTAAACTACAACTTCCTTCAGCCCAGGGTCCCACATAGTTCTTGACTTGATTTCTCTCGTAAATGATTTGATTTCTCTCTAGAGAAACGTCTCGTTGGGCTCTTAAAAAATTAAATAAATAATGGAATTCAAGTAATTGAACCAACGTCGGTCAATTTGTTGCTTAATAACAACAATAATACAAATATTGGTTAATCGCTCAGCACTAGCTTGCATGCATATGTGCATGTGTGTGTGTGTGTTTCCAGTGTGTCCCTGCCATCTCGTCCATCCCCTGGTACACCACCGCCACTCTCCTGGTAATAGTGCTGTCAGTAAAGGGGCTCAAAGACCTGGCCAATGACCTGGTGAGATCACTCACTCACCCTCCAATCACACGCCTCTCTCCTTCATTGTCCCCATTGACTCCTTGTCCTCTGCTCATTGACAAACTGGTCTTCCGAGTTACATACATTTTATTTTTTCCACTATCATTAGCTAGCTTCTCTCCTCCGGCAGCGATTATGTTTTGCATGGAGTATTCTGTGGTTAAGTGCATCACTGCGTTATGGTCTTTACAGCCTTGGTGAAAGGCTTTGTGACCCTCTTTATTGACTTATCATTTAGGGAGGGATCTATCTATCACTCCTATCTCTCTCCCTCAGGCCAGGAGACGCAGTGACTCTCAGATTAATAGGCGACCCAGTGATGTCCTCATCTCCCAGAGGTGAGCACAAAGATGCCAGCTCTGTCTCTCAGGGCACAAACCTAACTTCAGAAACCCATGTGACCTGTAAAACACTCAAACTTTTGTGTAAATCTACTGTATGTCAGTTCCTTTGTGCTTCTAGTACAAGGGAAATAATATACAGTAGGTCTTTACCTCAACTCCTTTCTTTGTCCCTTCTGTCTCTCTCCCTTCTGTCTCTCTCCCTTCTGTCTCTCTCCCTTCTGTCTCTCTCCTACTTCTGTCTCTCTCCCTTCTGCCTCTCTCCTACTTCTGTCTCTCTCCTACTTCTGTCTCTCTCCCTTCTGCCTCTCTCCTACTTCTGTCTCTCTCCCTTCTGCCTCTCTCCTACTTCTGTCTCTCTCCTACTTCTGCCTCTCTCCTACTTCTGTCTCTCTCCTACTTCTGTCTCTCTCCTACTTCTGTCTCTCTCCCTTCTGTCTCTCTCCTACTTCTGTCTCTCTTCCTTCTGTCTCTCTCCTACTTCTGTCTCTCTCCCTTCTGTCTCTCTCCTACTTCTGTCTCTCTCCCTTCTGCCTCTCTCCTACTTCTGTCTCTCTCCTACTTCTGTCTCTCTCCCTTCTGCCTCTCTCCTACTTCTGTCTCTCTCCCTTCTGCCTCTCTCCTACTTCTGTCTCTCTCCTACTTCTGCCTCTCTCCTACTTCTGTCTCTCTCCTACTTCTGTCTCTCTCCTACTTCTGTCTCTCTCCCTTCTGTCTCTCTCCTACTTCTGTCTCTCTCCCTTCTGTCTCTCTCCTACTTCTGTCTCTCTCCCTTCTGTCTCTCTCCTACTTCTGTCTCTCTCCTACTTCTGTCTCTCTCCTACTTCTGTCTCTCTCCCTTCTGTCTCTCTCCTACTTCTGTCTCTCTCCCTTCTGCCTCTCTCCTACTTCTGTCTCTCTCCCTTCTGTCTCTCTCCTACTTCTGTCTTTCTCCCTTCTGCCTCTCTCCCTTCTGCCTCTCTCCCTTCCGTCTCTCTCCCTTCTGTCTCTCTCCTACTTCTGTCTCTCTCCTACTTCTGTCTCTCTCCCTTCTGTCTCTCTCCTACTTCTGTCTCTCTCCCTTCTGTCTCTCTCCTACTTCTGTCTCTCTCCCTTCTGTCTCTCTCCTACTTCTGTCTCTCTCCCTTCTGTCTCTCTCCTACTTCTGCCTCTCTCCCTTCTGTCTCTCTCCCTTCTGCCTCTCTCCATTCTCCGTCTCAGTTTCAGCCCATCTCAGTGGAAGGATGTGTGTGTGGGAGATGTGTTGCGGATTCACAAAGACCAGATCATCCCGGTGAGTTTCTATGCCTTTAGCTTCAGCTGATTCAGCACCACCTGCAGGTTTGCATAGAGTCAAGTTCAAATGTGTTTATTCGTCAAATACACATACTATACATGAAGAACACAGTGCAATTAAATGCTTACTTGCAGGTTCACCTCTCGACAGTGCAACAACAATAGAAAAAGGAAATGGGTAAAGAAACGGTACTAAAAAAGTGAGAGAGTCCAAAGCGGTTCCCAAGCCCTGACTTTCTGATCGCCCCTCTCCCTTTGTGCTTCTCTCTATAGTCCTCTTCTCCTTCTGTATCCCTCATAGGCAGATCTACTTCTCCTCTGCAGCTCCGAGCCACACAGCCTGTGCTACGTGGAGACAGCTGACATTGATGGGTAGGGGACAGGAACATCCATGTTCTAACAATGTACTCTTGTCTATACTGTACACTGAACCAGATATGACCTGTTTAGTTTAAGCTGAGGATTATGAAGCCTGACTGTAGTCCCTGTCTTTGCAGAGAGACCAACCTGAAGTACCGACAGGCCCTGGACGCAACCCACACAGAGATGACCTCTGACCCCACAGAACAGACCTTGGCTTCCTTCGATGGTAGGCACCACCTGACCCTAAGCATTTGGAGAGTTAGGAAAAAATGCAAAGTGTATACAAATAGGGTGAGCTCATAACTGAAGCAGACCCTATCTGCCTTCAATATTAGGCACCGCCCTGACTCAGAGCATCAGAAAGTAAAGGGAATTAGGGGGAAAATGCAAAGTGTATAAAAATTAGGGTGAGCTCATAATAACAAGTCAAGTGCGAGTGTAAAGAAAATTGTGTGGGGGAGTGCGAGGGGGCGTGCTGTGGGATTATTTAAGATACTCTTTGAAGAGGTAGGGTTTCAGATGTTTTCGGAAGATGGGGAAGGTCTATGTTGTTCTAGCTTCAGGTTCCACCATTGGGGTGCCAGGACAGAGAAGAGCTTTGACTGGGCCGAGTGGAAGCTAGCCTCCTGTAGGGGTGGGAGGGCCAAGAGACCAGAGGTGGCAGAATGGAGTACTCGGGTTGGGGTGTAGGGTTTGAGAATAGCCTGAAGGTAGGGAGGGGCAGTTCCTCTTGCTGGCAAGTACCATGGTCTTGTAGTGAATGCGAGCTTTGACTGGAAGCCAGTTGAGTGTGCGGAGGAGCGGGGTGACATGGGAGAACTTGGAAAGGTTGAACACCAGGCGGGCTGCGGCGGTCTGGATAAATTGCAGGGGTTTAATGGCACAAGCGGGGAGCCCAGCCAACAGCAAGGCCTACCGTATTTAGCTGCTATTTATAAACTTTTTATAAAAATTCCAAATCAAATAGCCTAACAATGAGGAAAAAAGTTATCAGCTTGAATATAAATTCAGCCACTATTTATTGTTGAACTCAGCGGGTTTTGTCTGGCTAATAGCCTACACAAATGGGCTGCAATATTTCAGGTAAATTGAATTAAATTAAATTAAACTTGAGAGACTCCCCTGGTCTCCTGAAGTCCTCCTTTTTTGTGTGCAAATGTTTACACCACGGCCTGTAGGTCCAGGTTGCAGGCCAGACTGTTTTCTATACTTAGTATTGCCAACCCAGACAGTCTTTCCTGAGACATTGTGCATTATATGTCCATTGCGCTGCACACAATTTAAACTTTAAAGTCTTGAATGATGCATGCTAGGATATACCAGAGATAATGGACTGTGATATTGCAACCACACAACTCAAGCACCGGTTCACCAGTAGGCCTATGAACAGAAAAAAAGGTTCAAGCCCTCAATAACTGTTTTCCGCTAAAGATTATAATCTGTTTGCATCTGCCAATTTATTGGCTGTCCAGAATCCAGACGACCTGTCCTCAGAGCTTCCTATACAGTTAATCTCTTTCCGTAACGTGTTCAGGCCGGCAATTAAGGAGAATGAGAGTCTCAATTAAAGATGTTGCAGAACTGCAGTAGTATGATTACTCCCTTCTGCCCAGTTTACCTGATGTTGCTACGGCAATCAAGGTTTTTTTACCATCCCTGTAACTGTCGCTTCTGCGGAGAGATCGTTTTCTAAAATAAAACTCATGAAGAACTACATAAGAAGCATTAGGCTCTCGGTCTGATATGCGCTTTTGAACACCTGAGTAAGCTCCGCTCATTGCACTGGTGCCGTCGTAGCCTTGACCACGGCATTTGTTCACCGATATCCCCTTGTACTTTAAATCAGTGACATTATTTCATAATCAAATGGCCTGCCATGTAGGATGCAATCCAAGAGTGTGCAGAGCCTGAGACGCCCAGTCCTAAGAGGGTGAAGAGGAGGATCTGATGGTTCACGGTGTTGAAGGCATCGGATCGATCTAGGAGGATGAGAACAGAAGAGACAGAGTCAGCTTTGGCAGTGCGGAGAGCCTCTGTGACACAGAGGAGAGCAGTCTCGGTTGAATGACCCGTCTTGAAGACTGACTGGTTAGGGTCAAGAAGATCATTCTGAGAGAGATAGCGGTAGCGAGAGTTGGTCAGAGACAGCACGCTCAAGTGTTTTGGAAAGAAAAGAAAGAAGGGATACTGGTCTGTAGTTTTTGACGCCAGAGGGGTCAAGTGTTGGTTTCTTGAGGAGGGGAGCGACTTTGGCCATTTTGAAGTCAGAGGGGACGCAGCCAGTGGTCAGGGATGAGTTGATGAGGGAAGTGAGGAATGGGAGAAGGTCTCCAGAGATGGTCTGGAGAAGGGAAGAGGGGATGTGGTCGAGCTGGCAGGTTGTCGGGTGTCCGTACCTCACTAGTTGCAGGATTTAATCTGGAGAGAGAGGGGAGAAAGAGGTCAAGGCGTGGGGTGGTTCTGTGGGAGTGGGTGCTGAGTGAATGAGGAGCGGATGTCGTCAACCTTCTTTTCAAAGTGATTGACAAAGCCATCTGCAGAGAGGGGGGGGGGGGGGGGGGGAGGATTTAGGAGGGAGGAGAAGGTGGAAAAGAGTTTCCTAGGGTTATAAGCAGAAGCTTGACATTTAGAGTGATAGAAAGTGGTTTTAGCAGCGGATACAGAGGAAGAGAAGGTAGAGAGGAGGGAGTGAAAGGATTATAGGTTCTCTGGAAGTTTTGTTTTCCACCATTTTTGCTCAGCTGCCCGCAGCCCTGTTCTGTAAGTCACTGAGCCACGGAGCAGGAGGGGAGGGCCGAGCCGGCCGGGAGGAAAGGGGACAGTGCGAGTCATAGGATGTGGAAAGGGAGGAGAGTAGGGTCAAACAGGCAGAATCAGGAGACAGGAGGGAGAAGGATTTCACAGAAGGGAGAGATGATAGGATAGAAGAGGAGAGAGTAGTGGGAGAGAGAGAGTGAAGATTGCGATGGCGCGTGACCATCTGGGTAGGAGCTGAGTGGGTAAGGTTGGAGGAGAGGGTTTACAAATGTAAATAGCCTTTTCTTTCTCTCTACCTCTCCGTCATTCTCTCTCTGCCTCCTTTCCTCTCTTATTCGCTCCCCACCCCTATCTCTCCCACTCTCCCTCCCTCTTTCAGGCATTGTGTTGTGTGAGGAGCCCAACAGTCATCTGTACACCTTCCGAGGGGAGCTCCACTGGAGAGGAGAGTGCCACCCTCTGGACAGTGAACACATCCTGCTGAGAGGAACAGTACTTCGCAATACAGATACAGCCTATGGCATGGCCATATACACCGGTACTCAGCACACATACATAGGCCCTGCTTCAATACTTTATGCACCCTCTCTTTCCCCCTAACAGATAAATGATAAGGACTATGAAATTGAATGTGTAAATGACACATATCTTCCTGTCCCTCAGGCTCAGACAGTAAGATCCTTCGTAACGTTGGTCAGCTAAGAGTCAAGATGACTCAGATTGAGAAGGTCCTGAACAAAGTGGTCATTGGGGTGAGTGATAAAGACCTGGAGAGGATGATGAAGTAATGCAGTGTGAGAGTTATGGAGATAGATGGTTTTATCTGTGCATTTATATAACTCTCTTGTCTTGACTCATTTTATTATGATAAAGGATCCAACTTTAACACGTGTTTTATGTGTGTGCTTTTTTTAAAGAGTGCTTTTGTGTTAATGTGTGTGTTTTTATGTACATGTATGTGTGTGTCTGTGATCTTAGATAGTGCTGTTCCTACTGTTGATGGCTCTACTACTGGCTGTGGGGTCGGGAGTGTTTGAGGGGCGCGTGTCGTCCCAAATAGAAGTTCTGTCTGCCTTAACGAGGGGCAACTCGCCCATCTACACAGCCTTCCTCACCTACTGGAGCTATGTGATCCTGCTCAGCCCTGCCATGCCCATGGCTCTCTACATCACGTGAGTAACACTACCAGGGTGGATGTCAGTTCTATTTGAATTAATTTAATTCCAATTCCAGAATCGAAAAGTGGAATCAGCTCTTCCAATCCTATAATACTGTACACAGCATACTTATTCTGCAGTCTAAGAATCTCTATTGAAATGTCTTTGTCAGTCACACGTCTAGTATTGAGTCTGTTTATGTCTCTGTGGGCAGGTTTGAGATGATCCACGTGCTGCACAGCCTGTTCATAGGCTGGGACGTAGAGATGCGAGGAGGGGTGGAGAGATCCATCCCTGCCCAGGCCCGGAACACCTCTCTGAATGAGGAACTGGGTCAGGTGGGATATCTGCTGAGTGACAAGACGGGCACCCTCACCCAGAACCGCCTGCTCTTCAGACAGTGCTGCATCGCAGGGGACGTCTATGGTAAGGATGGCCGATGACCTGGAAACAACCACCCTCTGTCTGTGTGTGTTAGATTTGGTTTCACCACTAAACCTACAAGGGCCTGGAATACCTTGTGTTATTGTGCAGTGGGTTCTCAGTCTGCGCCCCGGTTTGGAAAGACAGTGACTGAACTCACTTTTGTTTGCATCTGACTAAAGACCAAGACCTACATGTAACTTTGATCTAACTTTATCAAACCAGCACCATTCACCAGAGTAGCCCAGTCTCTACGAGTACAGCAGAGACTGTTCATAAAGTAGAGAATCCCGCACATGGGCAGAAGCTTCGGGACCTATAGCTGTCAGGAAAGAGGGGTCCAGCCACTCTGATAACAAATCAGGGCACCCTCGTAAGTGTTCAAATATGAATATGGACACGGCCATAAATGTTAAATATTGAATGTTGGTCCTGCCCTCTAGAGTCAAGGTGTAATCTGAAACTTGTCTGGAATCACATTCCCCATCTGCCCACTGTCTACTACTACTATCTGTCAGGTAGTTAGAACATGCTGACTGTCAGCCTAAAGCTCCCCACTCTCACCACTCTATCTGAAAATGTCTTCATTTCTCTTTTTTGTATTTTGTCAGGAGATGCGTTAATCAGTGCAGAGGAATCACAGGTAATGATCCAGATTTAGATGTACCATATCATTGAAGAGGAAAACATATATGTTATGTGGTTTATCCAGTTTATTTCCACATTGTCAAATCAGTCATGAAGTAGTAAACAAACAAAAGAACAGAACTTTCCTCTCTGCCCCACCTCTGCCTCCCCCAGACATTAGACCTGAGCTGGAACCCGTTCTCCTGTGGGGGTCTGTATCTGTCTGACCAGCGGCTGGTGGACAGGTTGAGGGGACAGCAGTGTACACAGAGCAGACAGTTCCTCACCGCCCTGGCACTCTGCCACACCGTCATGACTGAATGGAAGAAAGGTGAGGGCAAACAAGTCATTATTGTGTAATTACCATTTTACCATGTAACTTCATAAATGTAACTAGGTAAATACTTGGTGTTTTCTGTACAGTAAAATAAAATGCTACTAAACCCTCTCAAGAATGAGGAAAACACATCTCAGCATGATACAACAATACAGCTGTGCGATTCCATGCCTGCGTAGGCCGAAAACATTTTTGGTATCTCAGATTGTTGTTGCAGTTCTCACATAGAAAATTCATTGGGAGGAAGGATGTTTGACATGCTTTTTACATTTGTATCATAAACCATTTGAAAGTGAAAGTTGCCATTTTAGGCCCTTTGTAGACCTGTACATGCCTCTTGTAAGACCCTATGATCTGTGAACTACTCATGATACAGACAACATCTTGGTGTCATTATACTCCTTACAGTGTTCTCTCACGTATGGAGTATGTCTTGATTCTGAAATACAATTCTTCACATTCATTTATTCAACATTAAAAACATTCATATCTCAAAAGTACCCTTTTAGATTTTGTTCATTTTAAGAAATATAGTTTTTAACAATATACTCTACAAGTACATCACATTTCCAGAGTAGACTCTCTGCTAATTCTGAAGGTATGATACATTTTATAAGCACCACCAACACAGTGAAGGGGAAAATGGATTAAAAGGGAACTCCCTTTGAATCCATTTGCTGAATGTAAAATCCTATAGGAGGGCTGTGATTGATTAATGACCTATAATGTCAATTTCTATGTATAAAATGGGTCATATCATTAAAAAGTACCAGAAAACCCACTCTGGAATGTGACATGTTTGAAGAGTATATTGTTACAAACAATATGTCAAAAAGAAGCTAAATCTAAAAGGGTACTTTTGAGATATTAATATTAATAATTTTTATGTTGAATAAATTAATGTGAAGAATTGTATTTCAAAATCAAGACATACTCCATATGTGAGAGAACACTATAAGGAGTATAATGACACCAAGATGTTGTCTGTATCATGAGTAGTTCACAGATCATAGGGTCTTACAGGAGGCATGTATAGGTCTAAAAAGGGCCTAAAATGGCAACTTTCATGATTTTCAAAAACAATGGTTTGTGATACAAATGTAGAAACCATGTCAAACATCCTTCCTCCTAATGAAGTTACTATGTGAGAGTTGCCAGAAGAATCTGAGATACCAAAAATATTTTGTGGTACACTGGCGTGGAATCGCCCAGCTACTGTTACAGTTCTGTTGCGTGATGTTTGTCCCAGGGGCCCCGGTGTACCAGGCTGCGTCCCCAGACGAAGAGGCCCTGGTGGGAGCAGCCAGGGAGCTGGGCTGGGTCTTCCTCTCCAGGACCAGGGACTCTCTGACAGTCAGTGAGCTGGGCCTCAAACGCCACTACCAGCTCCTCACCCTGCTTGACTTCACCAGCCAGAGGAGACGCATGTCTGTACTGGGTAAGACTGACGTTACTATCTGGCCATTCTAGAAAGGATGAATGTACGGCCCTAACCCTGAGCTTACTACTAAAAAATATATCCTAATTATGTACTTGCTCAAAAGATCTGACAGAATTTCCTCTTTTGTACTTTCTAGCATGGCTATCTAGTGACTACCTGAGTGAGACTGGATGCATCTGCCCCACAGCTCCCCTATCCTGGCACCTTTCTCTTTCTCTCCCTTCATCTCTCTATCCCCCAGTCTCTGGTCTTGATGTACTCTCCTGACATGTGTAGATATGTTCTATCCTCTGATGTATGTTGTTGTGTTTTTAGTGCGGGAGCCAGAGGGAGGGCTGAAGTTATACTGTAAAGGTGCTGACATGGTGATCCTGGAGAGACTACAAAAAGACTGTCCACATCTGGAGAGCACTGAGAGAGCCTTAGATGTAAGACACAAACACACACACACACACACACACACACACACACACACACACACACACACACACACACACACACACTACACATAATAAGCAGAACAAGTAGATATCATGCAACATCTCATCCAGTATATTCCTGTCATCCTCCAGCTGTTTGCCCAGTCCTGTCTGAGGACCCTGTGTATAGCTGAGCGTACTGTACCTGAGGGCAAATGGGTGGAGTGGAGCAAAACCATGGCCCAGGCTGCCATGTCAACCCGTAACCGTGATGACATGCTGGAACAGCTGTATGATGACATGGAGAGAGATCTAAAGGTATCCTCATAATCATAGTGTTACATTACAGTATGTTTACCATACAATGGGATTTGATGAGAATTCTGATGCTCCAAAGGATGATACCCATCAAGGAAACTCATGAACGCTTTATATAAATGCAATGTGATCCAATATCATAGTGATAAACTCTCTGTATATCCTGGTTCCTGTTGTGCAGCTGCTGGGGGTGACAGCTATAGAGGACCGGCTGCAGGACGGGGTCCCTGAGACCATCTCCATGCTCAGACAGGCTGGACTCAAAGTCTGGGTGCTGACCGGGGACAAGAAAGGTAACTACTGCTCCCCACTGTCTTTCTGTCTCTGTCTGTTGGTCTCTCACTCCTTTTCTGTCTCTCTTCCTCTCTGCAGAGACAGCGGTGAACATAGGGTACGCCTGCAGACTTCTGGATCCTGATACCAGACTACTAGAAGGGGATGAACTGAGGTCAGACATATTTACACACACACACACACACACACGGATGGACACACACAGACACATACACACACATTCACACAAACACACACACACACGGACAAACACACAGACACACACGGACACACACACACACACACACACAAATTGACCATACTTTTCCAATATATCTATTTCTGTGGATCCTCCCACAGGCAGCTCCTCCAGTCTCCTGATCCAGAGATTACTTTCTCCAAGGGCAAAGAGACAGAGCTGTGGTGTGTGGACAGGGAGAGGGCTGGGGAGAAATCAGCACTGGTCCTCACCGGCCCTGAACTGGTAAACATAGGTGTTAATGCTAATAAGACTATAAGACTGAAAACCTTATAGCTTAGTGATTATCCATAATTCTGTATAATTTATTTGCTCTGAGTCTAGTAAACACTCCCTTTATCTAAAGGCTACCTTATCTAAAGGCTGCCATCACACAAAAGGCAGTGTTCATGTTGATAGTGTTCATGGTTTGTTGATGGTTTGTCCCTGCTCAGACAGAGTTTGACACCAGGCCAGATTGGGGTGCCAGGTTCATGTCCCTGGCAGTGCTGTGCCAGTCAGTACTGTGTTGCCGTGTGACTCCCAGCCAGAAGGCTGACGTGGTCACGCTCGTTAGGAAAAACACCACCTCTATCACCATGGCAATAGGAGATGGTGCCAACGACATGAACATGATCAAGAGTGAGTGTGATGGACAGAAAGGTTGGCGGTGAAATTATGATGTCTGTTCAAAGACAGGGTGTATTTAACATGTTTTCTCTCTCTCTCTCTCTCTCTCTCTCTCTCTCTCTCTCTCTCTCTCTCTCTCTCTCTCTCTCTCTCTCTCTCTCTCTCTCTCTCTCTCTCTCTCTCTCTCCCCCCCCACTCCCTCCTGTAGCGGCTCATATAGGGGTAGGTTTGGCTGGTGTAGAAGGGGGTCAGGCAGTTCAGAATGCTGACTATGCCCTGGCCAAGTTCAGTTTCCTACAGAGACTCCTATTGGTCCACGGACGCTGGTCGTACCGCCGAATCGCTGTCTTTCTGCGTTACTTCCTGTACAAAACCTGCGGCTTCGCTTTGGTGCACATCTGGTTCAGCTTCTTCAACGGCTTCAGTGCCCAGGTTAGATGGCAACACTGGTCACATTGGTTTAGCATCAGAATCATTAATATAATGCTAATGTTTACGGGGGAGGGGGGTTCTGGGTGGGGAACGACCAATGGGTGGGTTTTCCTGTGGGTCCTGTTTTTTGTTTCACATCCATGGGTTTATTAACACTAAAGATAACAATTACATAATTAATAATACATTATTTTTTATATATATAATGGCAACGCTACCTATTATTTATTGGAATTTGAAAGGTCTGAATAGTCCCATCAGACGTTACAGCTGCCTTGATATCCTAGCAATAAACCAGTGGTGGAAAAAGTACCCAATTGCCACACTTGAGTTAAAGTAAAGATACCTTAATCGAAAATGACTCAAGTAAAAGTGTTAGTCACCCAGTAAAATACTACTTGAGTAAGTCTAAAAGTATTTGGTTTTAAATACAGTGCTATGAAAAAGTATTTGCCCCCTTTCTAATTTTCTCTACTTTTTCATATTTGTGATACTGAATGTTATCAGATCTTCAACCAAAACCTAATATTAGATAAAGGGAACATAAGGGAACAAATAACACAACAATTACATATTTATTTCATAAACAAAGTTATGCAACACCCAATTCTCCTGTGTGAAAAAGTAATTGCCCCCTTACACTCAATAACTGGTTGTGCCACCTTTAGCTGCAATGACTCCAACCAAATGCTTCCTGTAGTTGTTGATCAGTCTCTCACGTCGCTGTGGTTTTGGAATGGCCTAGTCAAAGTCCAGACCTAATCCCAATTGAGATGTTGTGGCAGGACTTGAAACGAGCAGCTCATGCTTGAAAACCCACACATCACTGAGTTAAAGCAGTTTTGCATGGAAGAGTGGGACAAAATTCCTCCACAGCGACGTGAGAGACTGATCAACAACTACAGGAAGCATTTGGTTGGAGTCATTGCAGCTAAAGGTGGCACAACCAGTTATTGAGTGTAAGGGGGCAATTACTTTTTCACACAGGGGAATTGGGTGTTGCATAACTTTGTTTATGAAATAAATATGTAATTGTTGTGTTATTTGTTCACTTATGTTCCCTTTATCTAATATTAGGTTTTGGTTGAAGATCTGATAACATTCAGTATCACAAATATGCAAAAATAGAGAAAATTAGAAAGGGGGCAAATACTTTTTCATAGCACTGCATACTTAAATATCAAAAGTAAATGTAATTGCTAAAATATACTTAAGTATCAAAAGTAAATGTATAAATAATTTCACATTCATTATATTAAGCAAACGAGATGGCACTATTTTCTTGTTTTTAAATTTACAGGTAGCCAGGGGCACACTCCAACACTCAGACATCATTTACAAACGAAGCATGTGTTTAGTGAGTCCGCCAGATCAGAGGTAGTAGGGATGACCAGGGATGTTCTCTTGATAAGTGTGTGAATTGGACCATTTTCCTGTCCTGCTAAGCATTCAATGTAACGAGTACTTTTGGGTGTCAGTTAAAATGTATGGAGTAAAAAGTACATTATTTTCTTTAAGAATGTAGTGAAGTAAAAGTAAACATTTTCAAAAATATAAATAGTAAAGTGAAGTACAGATACCCTTAAAAACGATTTAGGTAGGACTTTAGAGTATTTTTACTTAAGTACTTTACACCACTGCAAGAAAATCTATTAATATAGCAATGCTCCAAGAAGCACACCTGCTCCAAAAGGACAAAGATGGAAAAGAGAATCATTTGTACAAACTGGCTGCTTTTTCATCAGCCCCAAACAAAACTAAAGATGTAATCATAATGATACATAAGAAACTCAAAATCCCCATCTTGGGTAAAGGCGAAGATCAAGAAGGCAGAATCAGTTTCCTTAAATGTATCCATAATGGAAAGAAAATTGCCTTTATTAATGTGTACACTCCAAATGTATATGATCCTACGTTTTTTGATTATCTGAACAGCATATTGTTGGAATTAACTGAATTCCATCTGGTTATTAGGACAGACATGAATGCCATTTTGGACATGTGGGACAAATCTATACTGAACAAAAATATAAACGCAACATGTTTCATGAGCTGAAATAAAAGATTCCACAACATTTTTTTACATTCCCTTTAGTGATCATTTCTCCTTTGACAAGATAAACCATCCACCTGACATGTGTGGCATATCAAGAAGCTGATTAAACAGAATGATCATTACACAGGGGAACCTTGTGCTGGGGACAATAAAAGACCACTCTTAAATGTGCAGTTTTGTCACACAACACAATGCCACAGTTGTCTCAATTTTGAGGGAGTGTGCAATTGGCATGCTGACTTCAGAAATGTCCACCAGAGCTGTTCCCAGATAATTGAATGTTCATTTCTCTACCATAAACCACCTCCAACGTAGTTTTAGAGAATTTGTCAGTACGTCCAACCGGCCTCACAACTGCAGACCATGTGTAACCACACCAGCCTAGGATCTCCACACCCGGCTTCTTCACCTGTGGGATCATCTGAGACCAGCCACCCGGACAGCTGATGAAACTGAGGAGTATTTCTGTCTGTAATAAAGCCCTTTTGTGGGAAAAAACTAATTTTGATTGGCTGGGCCTTGCACCCCAGTGGGGGGTCCTATACGCTCCCAGGCCCACCCATGGCTGCGCCCCTGCCCAGTCATGTGAAATCCATAGATTAGGGTCTATTGAATTTATTTCCTTATATGGACTGTAACTCAGTAAAATCTTTGAAATAGTTGCATGTTGCATTCCAGACACAACCAAGGCTCTCCAGCATATACTCTCTGATTACAACTTCATTGATGCCTGGCGAGCACATAATCCTAAAGCAAAAGTGTACACTTTCTATCAAACAGCCATAAATGATTTGCACAAATCGATTTCATACTATTATCTACACCTCTATTTTCTTTAATCAAGAAAGTTGAAATTGGACATATGAGCTTGTCTGACCACAATGCTTACTACTGCCAACTTCACATTTTTTGAGCCAGCCATTAAAAAAGTATGGTCCACAGATCTATTTGAATCTGAACAACACTTTAAAAATATGACCTTGGCATCCCGTAATCCGAACCAATTTTATATATTTTAAGTTTGTTCACAGACTGTATTTAACACCCAGGAAACTTTTTACGATTAAATTGGCCCCAACTCCCAACTGTTCACTGTGTCCCCTAAATCAGGTAGGCATTTTCCTTCATATGATGTGGGAGTGCCCTGCAGTTAAATGGTTCTGGGGAAAAGTTACAAAATTCCTTTCAAAGTGCTTGAATGTAAATATTCATGCTTTGCATCTATTATGTTACTTAACGATGATAGCTCCTTGAATCTATCAATCAATCAGAGACTATTACTGCTGGGTGTTGGCTGGGTGGGGTTGGGGGAATGGGATGGGAGGTCCTCTTCTTTTTTTTCTTTTCTTTTCCTGTTTATACTGAATGTATTATTACTTAAACTGAAAAATATGATATTTTGTAATATTGTGTCTTCTTCTTTTGAGTGGCAGCCCACAGGTACAATGTATAATAATGAATTGAAAATATATGGAATATGAAATAATATTAATGTAAATATTGTACCTGTAACCCCCCCAAAAAATTTGTTTTAATAATAATATATATATAATGGAACTGCAACCTTTTTTTAACAGAGCCCAATGTTTTTGCCATTTCTGTGCTGTTTTCTTCCAGTCTCTGTATGAGAATTGGTTCATCATCCTGTACACTGTGTTATACACCGCCATGCCAGTACAATGCCTGGGCATTTTTGAGCAGGTAAGAGAAGAGAGAAAGGCATATTTGTAAAGAGGTGTGTAATCCCAAGGGGCCCAGAGTCCATGTGGCCATGGACACCCTCCTGACCATTACCAGACTGTTGTTTGATCTCCTCTCTGCTATAGGATGTAAGTGCAGAGGGCAGTCTGAGCTGGCCGGAGCTCTATAAGGTTGGCCAGAGACAGGAGCTGTTCAACCCCTGGTTGCTGGCTGCCACCCTGCTCCATGCCCTCTACACCTCTCTGGTCCTCTTCTTCATGCCCCTAGGGGTCTTCTACAACTCTGCCCTGGACTACCAGACCATGGCTGTCACTGTCAGCATAGCATTGTTGTTCTCTGCCACCATTGAGGTTAGAAGGGTTAGATGTCATGGAATGGACGTAAACAGAGTTCTTTGGAGTTTCACATCACTGCTGATTATCGTTGATGATTATGATACATTTATTGACATTGACATTGTGTGTTGGTTTGTGTGTCTCAGATCGTTCTCCTGACCAGACACTGGACTAAGTGGAGTGTGGCTGCGATGGGTGTCAGCTTTGGCCTGTTCTTTGTGTGTACGCCAATCACTCACAGTCCCAAGCTATTTGAGAAGTCCCCGGTAGACTACTACTTCCCTGGTAGACACCTCACTTCTACCACTGTCTTAACATTGATATTGTGTACTGTCTTGAACTGACTCTGTGTGTGGTAATACTGAGGTGGTTGGGTGTGTCTGTCTGTGGTCTGATCAGGTGTGTCTCAGAATGCCTTCCCCAGCCCGGTGGTGTGGCTCACAGCCCTGCTGACAGCCTGGACCGCTGTCCTACCCTCCTTTACCATCCACGCCATCAACATCATCCTCACTAACCCAGACAAACATAAGGTAAGACTACCATAGTGTGTGTGTGTGTGTGTGTGTGTGTGTGTGTGTGTGTGTGTGTGTGTGTGTGTGTGTGTGTGTGTGTGTGTGTGTGTGTGTGTGTGTGTGTGTGTGTGTGTGTGCGTGCGTGCGGAATGGCCATGTTACATTACCCACAGTGGAGAGAAGTCATGTTTGACCTGTTCTCTGATTTCCCCCAGGTTCACAACACCAAGCGTGGGCCTGTAGAGCTTCAGAAGTTTTGCTTCAGGAGAGGAGACCCCCGCCGCCGCTCCTCCTACGCCATGTCCCAGGGCCGAGGCATCGGCCGTCTCATCACCTCTGGAACTAGCCTCCGTAGCACAGCTCCCCCAGTGGACAGGAGGGGAACTTTAGGTGATAATGTCACACTAGCAGGCCAAACACAGACAGTGGAGAGCGATGATGCTCCAAAGAATATTACTGAAAATGGTTCATCCAAATAGATGGAAACGGGATTGATAATGTGTGTATGTCCCTCCACAACTACAAGAATAATACATTTTCTGCAGCAGTAAAAACATTTCAAATAGGGCCTGTCTATAGGGTCATAGTTTAGCCCATGATTTAGCCCTGGTAGTTCAGCACCATGGACAGCAGAAGCCCAGACCGTGGGGCAAAAGTTCAAACGGTGGTTCGATGATATGGCAGTGGTCTTTGAGGATGGCATACAGATGTATGATCTTAATTTGATCACCCTGTTGCAGGAGATACACTACATTACCAAAAGTATGTGGACACCTACTCGTCGAACATCTCATTCCAAAATCATGGGCATTAATATGGAGTTGGTCCACCCTTTGCTGCTATAACAGCCTCCACTCTTCTGGGAAGGCTTTCCACTAGATGTTGGAACATTGCTGCGGGGACTTGCTTCCATTCAGCCACAAGAGCATTAGTGAGGTCGGGCACTGATGTTGGGCGATTAGGCCTGGCTCGCAGTCGGCGTCCCAATTCATCCCAAAGGTGTTCGATGGGATTGAGGTCAGTGCTCTGTGCAGGCCAGTCAAGTTTTTCCACACCGATCTCGACAAACCTTTTCTGTATGGACCTCGCATTGTGCACGGGGGCATTGTCATGCTGAAACAGGAAAGGGCCTTCCCCAAACTGTTGCCACAAAGTTGGAAGGACAGAATCCTCTAGAATGTCATTGTATGCGGTAGCATAAAGATTTCCCTTCACTGGAACTAAGGGGCCTAGCCCAAACCATGAAAAAAGCCCCAGACCATTATTCCTCCTCCACCAAACCTTACAGTTGGCACTATGCATTGGGGCAGGTAGTGTTCTCCTGGCATCCGCCAAACCCAGATTCATCCGTCGGACTGCCAGATGGTGATGCGTGATTCATCACTCCAGAGAATGCGTTTCCACTGCTCCAGAGTCCAATGGCGGTGAGCTTTACACCACTCCAGCCAACGCTTGGCATTGCGCATGGTGATCTTAGGCTTGTGTGCGGCTGCTTGGCCATGGAAACCCATTTCATGAAGCTCCCGATGAACAGTTCTTGTGCTGACATTGCTTCCAGAGGCAGTTTGGAATTCGGTAGTGAGTGTTGCAACCGAGGACAGGCGATTTTAACGCGCTACACGCTTCAGCACTCGGCGGTCCCGTTCTGTGAGTTTGTGTGACCTACCTCTTCACGGCTGAGCCGTTGTTGCTCCTAGACGTTTCCACTTCACAATAACAGCACTTACAGTTGACCGGGGCAGCTCTAGTAGGACAGACATTTGACTTGTTGGAAAGGTGGAAAGGTGGCATCCTATGACCGTGCCACGTTGAATGTCACTGAGCTCTTCAGTACGGGCCATTCTACTGCCAATGTTTGTCTATGGAGATTGCATGGCTGTGTGCTCGATGTTATACACCTGTCAGCAACGGGTGTGGCTGAAATAGCCGAATCCACTAATTTGAAGGGATGTCCACATACTTTGTATATATAGTGTATTTCTTGCAATGCAGAAAATGTATAACTTGTAGTGTATTTGAGGTTTAAAAAGGCTTCTGAATTTTGAAATTTCCCTCATGAAATATGTATCAACCCCTACAAAAATGTCCATTAATTATATAATCCACATAATAATTAACATTTCCTGTTTCTGTAGGATTATTTTCCTGCTGTAGCAAACTGTGACAAATTAAAATCCTAAATGTGTATGTTTTTCTGTTCTCTTTTGTATGCATTCTTTCTAAATAAATGATATTTGATACCTTATTTGTTTAAAAAGTTTTATTTCAGCAGTCACCTACGTTGTTCAATTAGATCAATTCAATACACCTTGGCATGCATAGTAATTGAGAGAAGATTGTTTGAATTTGCAACGTACTGTAGGATGTGTGTGCACCATGTTTTAGGGTATAGATTTTTGTATTTACCCATAGAAGAGTACATCCTTTCAAGAGAAAAAACAAACCAAACTAAGACAGCACAGATGTTTTACAATTGTTTTATTTGTTAATTTGTTTCAAAACACGCAATTTACCCATATTATCCTTTTTAAGTTCTTATTTTCTGTAACAGTTATTACTCAAATTTTTTTCCTTCTCAAAAATCTCCACTAAAGCTAAATAAAAAGTTATCCACAGGCTCTCCTGCTTCTGCAGTGGGAGGAGGGACAAGAGGCTCTCAGTGTGTTGGGCCTTCAACATCCTGCAGGACGCACAGGTGTGTGTGTGTGTGTGTGTGTGTGTGTGTGTGTGTGTGTGTGTGTGTGTGTGTGTGTGTGTGTGTGTGTGTGTGTGTGTGTGTGTGTGTGTGTGTGTGTGTGTGTGTGTGTGTGTTTGTGCGTGCATGTGCGTGTGTGTAATCTAACAGAAAAGGAGGAATGTTTACATGGCCAGTGTTGGAATCACTCACAGGAAACTAGAGCAGCTTTGAGAGCTGGGCATTGTCTCGGTTCAGTGGTCAGATTGTCAGACCTCTGATTTCATCTTTGGTTTTTAGCAAACGCTCTCAAAGGGCAGACTCGTCTTTAATTCCATGTAGGTGAGTGAGTGTGTGTGTCTGTATGAGTGTGTGTGTGTACTGTAAGTCACCCAGTTTTGTAAACTGTGTTCCATTTTGATGTCTCTGCATTGATTGATTGGGGCCTTCCTTGCCCCTGAACAGAGACTATACAACATTGTAACACATTGAACCATGTAGAAAATTGATTTAGGCTAACAACATGGGCATGGACTCCATTTCATGTCAATGGCAGTTTGGGGCCTTTCTGAAAGCTGTAAAAGCACTGTCTGGTACACACTAGAGTCAGTGCTGCAGTGCCTCTCCTCTCCAGGCCCTCTATAGAGTACCCTGAATGACTGGAGCTGCTAGACCCACTCTGGGGGAAACCGGGAGGGGGGCAGATGTCATGAAATGGAAAGGGTAGGTGGGGGATAGAAGTTTGTACACTCTGACCCAACAGCAATCATTAAGATTGGGGGGTCAGGTGTTTGCATAGTTTTCTGTGCAAAAGCCACCAGCCAGATCCTCATATCTCTCATGGCTGGTTTCATCAACATTAGATCAGCAGGAGACCATGTTGGAGTGGGGTCAGATGGGAAATGTAGTAATAGCTGTCTTGCATTGCACAGCACTGCGTTGTGGGTTGTGTTGTTTGCATTAGGTTAATAATATAGACAAGGGATGTCAGAGTAGGAGTGTCTCGAGGTAAGGGCTAACTGTTTGGTTTGAGTTGTTTGTAATGATGTGTTGCTTGTGATGAGATTGATGATAGGGTGTGTATTAGGGTGTGGGGTGGTGGGTAGTAGTGGGTAGTGGGCATATTTTGGCAGTCGGTGCAGTACAGCTGTGAATGACCCAGAGAGCCTCTTTTCCCGATTTCTCCTTCCAACCCCCCCCCTGCTGGCCTGTCCTCTCTCTACCTTTTTCTTGTTTTGAAACTGATTGTCTTCTACCATCACAAAGACACTTGGTTCTGATTGATTAACAGGCACCAGAAGAGGGAGAGCACAGTGTGACTGGGGTGTTAACCGGGTCTGACTGCAGGCCGACTGGCAACTTTACATCCTAAAGGAAGATGGTGCATATATGCTGTTTGACAGTAGATGAGAGCATTTCTGGTTGGAGGGGTCAGTTGCCAATGTACTGGTCGGTTGGTAAATGTTAGAATTTCGCTTGACCAAGATTGCAAACCAAAGAAAGAACACTTCTTCAGATAAATACAAATGTAGGCACACATACACACACAGACTGAAGAAAAGGATGGCATACAGTGCATATAGGCAGCTACACCCAGGCCTGTGGCTTAGTCCCTCTGATTAACTCCAAGGAAACAACCCGGCCTTGGAAAAGCAGGACAACCACCAACAGGACCATGTTGGTAGCCAGGCTGAGGAATGAGATTGAATGAGATTGATTGGAGAGGAGGGGTGGAACCTCCCCAGCACACTGCCCCCTACTGTCAGGATGTATATGCATAAAGAAAAACATGGGGAGGGGAGAGGGGTTGCAACAACACATGCACACAACCAGTGAATCCAACAGTGACAAAAATGTCTAAAAACAAAGACCCCTCCAACGCCAAACCCCGACCCCAGCCCACCCTTTTTCCAAATACCCCCCTCCATCCACCCCAGTCTTTCCTTCCTCCTCTCGCACAAAATCACAGGTCAATCCTGTAGGTTTCTATACAGTTATACAATATCCATGCAGAAAAAAAAGGTTACACCTCCCTTTCAATAGGAGGTGCTGTTTTCAATATATTAATAACATCAGGAGCACTTGAACACACTTCAAAAGTAACTATGAAATTGTTTAGGAGAAAAGAGAACAAAATGGCAGAAGAAAGCTTGGGATGAGTAAAAACAATCTTCCTAAAGTTGATATTCAAATTATGCTTTTTTAGAATTCAATCCAATCCGTTTCATTTTTTTGTCTTTGAAAATACACACCTCAAAGAACTGAGCTATCTATCTATGTGTTAAGTAGCTCTTGTAGTCCTCTCTCTCTCTTCCCTTCCTCTTTTAGCATTCTCTCCTGTCTCTTCCTCTTTTTCCACAGAAACATTCACAATGTCTTTACTTTATGAAAACATTCAGTACATGCCGTAGCAAAACAAACAGGAAACTTAAAAGAAAATAAGCAAACAAGTAAAACCATTGAACAGTATAAAGCTTCAAGTCACAAGTTCCAAAACTAACTATCATAGTATCGTAGAATCATAGTCATTTTTATCATTAGCATGATTATTTTCAGTTAAATTACATAAACATGAAAGGTTTGAGGTATTTCAGAATTAATTGTCAACACATGCCTACCAAGTCTTAGCTCTGGCCAGGGGGAGAGGTTGATGTGTGAGTAGACTAGACATGGTGGAGGTGGAGGGAGAGAGAAGTGGTGTCTGTCTATAATTGTCAATGACTGTTCAGGTGCCCAGTGCAGCATTAGTGCTTGCACCAAGTGTGGAGGGAGAATGATATACAGTGGTAAGATATTACAACTACATCCTGGCCACTGTTGACTTCTGCCTAGCCCTTTACCTCCTCCCTCTCTGTTACATAAAAATATCTCTGTTGGGAGGGGTAAAGGGATGGAGAACAGAAGAACACCAGGCTAAGGAAACAAGGGCACCCTCCAAGCCCCTCCGACAGCAACTACTATGCAGTAACAAAGTGATTGACGGAATTCAAAGTAACATATTTTTGTTTCAAATAAATAGTGTATAGAAAATGTTTTATAGACTTTCTACATGATAAAGTGCTTTTATTCTAGTGTATCAAGATGGAAAGTCAATATGAAAGAAGATGCTGACACAGCCCCCACTCTATGCCCCTTTCTTTGGCCCCCCTTTCTGTCTATCTAATAACGAATGATGTGTGTGTGTGTGTGTGTGTGTGTGTGTGTGTGTGTGTGTGTGTGTGTGTGTGTGTGTGTGTGTGTGTGTGTGTGTGTGTGTGTGTGTGTGTGTGTGTGTGTGTGTGTGTGTGTGTGTGTGTGTGTGTGTGTGTGTGTGTGTGTGTGTGTGTGTGTGTGTGTGTGTGTGTGTTCAGAGCAGTCCCACTCGTGGTTGAAGGAAAAAGGCACTCAACTCTATCTGCAAGGTAGCCACCTCCTCCTTTGTGGCACAATGCAGCCTGACTGCACTGTATGTGTGTTAAGTGTGTCAGTGTGTCTGTTTGTGTGTCAGTGTGTCTGTCTGTAACAGCGTTGGGGCAGAGGGGGGCTCTTTTTGGTGTGTGTGTCCCGGGTAGCATGGGACTGGCAGGCTGGAGTAATCTTTGGTATTCGTGGCGGTTTCACAAACCACTCAGCTTAGTGAGGTAGCCACATTGGTTCTCACTACAAACAAAGGTAATTTTATCAGCCACGTACATAGAGCTGAATTCTGCTCTTGCTGAACTGTGTACCACAAATCAATTTTTCTCATCGTTCGAGACTTTAAACTCACTGCTTATAGCAAAGAGAGTTTACAGCCATTCTTTTAAACTATCAAAGTGTCTTATCTATTCTCCACAGTTAATCTAACTACATTGTTGGAAATGCTACAGATGCATTTTTAAGACCACACAGATAACATCCATGTTCTAACTCCCCTTTAACCTTCATCCCCTCCCTCCCTCCCCATACACATATATAATCAGCAAGGACATATGGAGGTCATGTTGTGTCCCCTTTCCAAAGCCCGTTTTTGGGGCTCAGATTAAAGAGGTGCTGAAGTACAGACCGCAGCCCCGACATGTAACGGTATGAAAGAATACACCGTCCATCTCCCTGGTTTCTCCTTCTCTTGGGAAATGTCTCCTCCTTGTCAATATTCACATATAATGCAAAAAATCAATGTCCTTCATTGGTCTCGGTCCTCGTATCCCTCTTTTCTTCTTTTAAAAAGTCCTTTCATTTGTCTTTTTTTACATTTATCAACAAGGTGCCTTACTTATGCACGACAGAGCACAAAAGTAACAAGAGAAACTTTGTGTCTATGGTACTAATTACCCGCATCAATATTATAGAGTGAAAGAGAGAAAGAGAAGGAAACAAGGGGGATAGGGGGAAGAGGGGGTAGAGGGGGTAGAGAACCAAAGATAGAATGAAAGAGAGAGAGAGAGATTTTCCTCTGTTTCAAAAATGTATCCAGTATGTGTTGGTGGATTTGTCTTTGTAACACATATTGTGGTATCTTTGTGGTTTTGAGGTTTGGTATTGTATGCCTTAAAATCTGGTTAACTTTTCGTTTTCTAAAAAAGTAGATTCTAATTCACTTAAAAGTTGATTGTTGGTTGCTATGGTACATACTGCCCATCAGTAGGAGTAGGGTACACTGTAGCTGTGTGTGAATGCAGTTCCATATTCTCTGATTATCATTAAGGCAGTTAGCATTGGCACTAGTTCTTGTAGCATTTGTGACTGTAGTGTGTGACGGCTAGCCACTGAATATAACCATTTTGTGGAAATATCCAGTGGGGACTTTCTCTTTTCCAAATCTGCTGATCATTATTTTTGGTAATAGACGGACGATGCATCTAAACTGTGTGTCATTTTAGATGTTTCAAAACAGGAAGCCTCCCCACCATTTTTGCATAAATTATGATGTAAAACTACATCTCCGTAGCACTTCCAATGTGTCTGGATCCATCATTACCCCTCTGTCCACTAAATTAAACTGAGACATATCTCTATATCAGCTGTATGTGTTGCTGTGTGTATCTTTTCAATACCCTAACATGTGGGTTGTGACACAAGGTCATCTATTTACTTGGTGAGTAGTATCAAGGTAATGTATTTGGAGTGTCTGCTAAAAAAAACTGTATCTTCTATTTTCCAGCGTATTGGGCGCTAGTTGAACCATCCCCCTCCTCCTACTTCACCAGTCCTCATTGGATGAGGAACAACAATAGGATAATGACTCACTATTGATCTGCCTTTAGAGATCTGTGAGGGCCTGAACATGTGCCATGGCCTCTCTATCCCCAGCCCTGGAACACACCGTGAGGCCTTTCCTAGAGGACTGCTGGCTGCAGCTTACTCTTATAACCAGCAGGGGGTACTGGGGAACCTTATGTGCAGAGCAGACTGGGCAGCTGTTAGGCCATTGTGTCGCCACCTCCATTGGGTTCCATGTGCTCTTCTTACATTCTCCTCTGCAGCAGCTATAATGCAGTTCGCTTGACGCCTGCCTTCCTGCCTGGCAGTGTTGTCGATTGGTTTCTGTATTGATCAGTGAAAAGCAGCTCCCTCCTGAACAAAGAGCATGTCCAGGCGTATTGCTCCCTCGCCTCCCCGACAGTTACAAAAACAGACACTTCTGCTTCTCCCAAGCAACGAAAGTATCCCTGCAGGCCTCCAACATCTGTGCAACAGTATAGACCTGGGCAACTGGACAGATCTGAGTATCTTTACTGCCAAGCGTCTTCTGTTTCACCTTCAGGAAGGGTCAAGGCCCCGCTCCCTCTCCCTGTCTTCATCGATTCATTTTTCGATTCATTAGTGTGCCGGAGTATGATTCGAGTGGCTCGCTGAAATGGCTGGCCATCAGGGAATACCTTTGGCGAAGAAGGAGTGGAGAGCGGGAGGAGAGGTTGAGCTTTTGTTTTTTCATAGGGGTTGTGTTGTTTTCTCTAGGATTTCCTTGTGCACAGAACTGGGTTGGATTACAGGTTTATTGCTGTTCTTCTGTCCTTGTTGCTTCCATGTGGAGAGATGAGAGATGTGAGGAGCGACACAAAGGGGAGTGCTGGGAGGGATTCAGCAGCAACTACCTGGATAGGGAGGCTGGCCGAGGCTCGATGTTGAGATCATTTAAACATAGCAACATATCATGGTGCATGTAGTGCAGATGGACTGACACCATCAACAGAAAGCTGGTTCAATCAAAAAACAGATGATTGTCCTTGTATGGACCTGACTACATGTTACCTGTACGTTTCACTTGCTTCATAACAGTCCAGTGGTGAGATTTTTAGGATCGTGGTGGTTAAAGTTACGACTGAACAAGAGGTGGTTGCATGGCACGAATGAGGAGGCATCAACATGGTTATCGGGAACGAAGTGGGATACAGGAGGTACCACCTCCCCATCCCCATGCCACCCCGTGGCTCCCCCTGGGCGTCTCAGACCTTGGAGAAAGTGGTGGCCGAGGTGCCCGGCTGGCCGGGGCTGGTGCTGTGCTCGTCGTGCCAGCGGTCCACGCAGCGGCGCCGGGCATTCATGAAGAAGTTGCTGACAGTGTTGAGCTCCAGGCCCAGTTGCTGGGAGATGGTGATCTGCATCTCCTTGGACGGGCGCTTGTTCTCCTTGAAGATGGCGATGAGTGTGCGGCGCTGCAGATCCGTGAAGACCAGACGCTGCTTTTTGGGCGCCATGTTGCGGTCTTTGTGCTGCTCCTGCTCCTTGCGCTTGCAGGCTGTGAGGGGTGGTAGGGGTGGGGTTGGGGAGACAAAGGGGGAGAGAAAAACATAGCATAAATGCAGTGTTACAGTTATAATACTGTAATACTATATCATTATGAGTACTTCAGTTAGAGTAAAAAGGTGAGAGATGCAGAGGGAAGATGTGGGAATTGAGTCATTAGCCAGTACTTTAAGACATCAAAACAGGTTTACAAAGCAGCAAAATATATTGAGCTCCCATATATTGCCATGTATTACAGTTTTTCTCAATTGCTAAAACACTAAACCCTATTGTCTGAACCAAATGCTCAGTTGCCTGAACCCACTGATTGAATCAATCACTCTTTTGGCAAAACCATAAGCACTTTTCACCTGTTTAGACGTAACTTGCCAACACATTTTCATTGTGATGCACCCGTGCTGCATAATGGTGAGCACAGGTGACAAAAGTCAAACACAATTAGAGCACAGGTGTCACCACAACACAACAACTCAAAATTGATCACACTTGTGGCTAATGATGTGAGGGAACATTTACAGTAAGCCAGTTCAGAGAGCACTGGTTTGTGAGGCCCTACAATGGATAGAAATCTGAGAGGAAGAGTTCGTGTGAGAGGAGGTCGAGGTGGTCGAGGGGGTCAGCGAAGACAAAGAACAGTAATATCTGATGAAATCAGAGCTACTGTGATTGACCATGTTCTTGTCCATGGTATGAGCATGAGGGAGGCTGGACAAAGGGTACAACCAAACATCAGTAGATTCACTGTGTCCACCATAATCCGAAGATTTAGAGAAGAGAACAGGTAATTACCTTTTTTTGACATTATAGTACAGTATGTAAATGTTGACAGCAATTACTGTATGACATACTATATACTGTACCACAGTATACTGTAAGTAAATATATGTTTCAGTACATCACTGTACCAATGTACTGTAGTATTGTAATGGAGGGTTGGTCTAACTGTTTGTAGGCCTAGTATTCCATGTATATTTTTTGTAACTCCATGTTCTCTTTTTGTAGAATTGAAAGACTGCCACATGGGGGTGGGAGGACAGGTATGTTCTCCCCCACACCAAGAGACCCTATGGTTGGATATGGTCCGTGAGAACAATGCCATTAAACTGAGCGAAATTCAGCAGAAGATCATTGAGGACCATTTACATTTTGAGAGGTATCAATCAATCCATTTTATTTTATATAGCCCTTCTACATCAGCTCAATATCTCGAAGTTGCTGTACAGAAACCCAGCCCTAAACCCCAAAACAGCTAGTAAGCAATTCAGGTGTAGAAGCACGGTGGCTAGGAAAACCACTCCCTAAGAAAGGCGAAAACTAGGAAGAAAACCTAGAGAGGAACCAGGCTATGAGGGGTGGCCCAGTCCCTCTTCTGGCTGTGCCGGGTGGAGATTATAACAGAACCATGCCAAGATGTTCAAAAATGTTCATAAGTGACAAGCATGGTCAAATAATAATCAGGAATAAATCTCAACAGTACCAACAGTGTCAGCCTCTCTACTGTTGATCATGTCCTCAAGCGCAACAGACTGCACATGAAACAGCTATACAGAGTGCCTTTTGATCGCAACTCAGACAGAGTCAAAGAGCAAAGATTCCAGTATGTACAGGTTGGCATATATCCAGACACATTCAATGTTGATTACTCTAAGTAGTGATTTACTGTAGTGGCCTAAATCACTTTTTCCGTATCACTTACAAAACTATATCTATTTCTACAGAGGGTTTTTCAACTGGATGCAATGGAAAGACCCCATCAATACATCTACATGGATGAAGCTGGGTTTAATCTCACCAAAAGGAGAAGGAGAGGCCGTAATGTGATTGGCCATCGGGCCATTGTTGATGTTCCTGGGCAGCGTGGTGGCAATGTCACATTATGTGCTGCCATCAGCAATCATGGGGTTGTCCACCATCATGCCAACCTGGGGCCCTACAACACTCACCAGCTCCTCATTTTCCTCAATCACATGCGAGATGCTTTGTTAGGGCAGCAGGATGAGCATCCCATCTATGTTGTTGTTTGGGACAATGTGAGTTTTCACAGAGCCCTCCAGGTTAGAGAGTGGTACAATATGAACCAAGGTTTTATCAATCTTTGCCTTCTACCGTACTCCCCTTTCCTAAACCCCATTGAGGAATTATTCTCCTCATGGCGGTGGAAGGTATATGAACGCCAACCTTACACCAGGGTAAATCTCCTGCAAGCCATGGGACTTGCCTGTGGTGACATAGGTGTGGAGGCATGCCAAGCCTGGATACGGCATGCCAGGGTTTTTTTCCCCCGTTGCCTGGCCAGACAAAATGTGGCCTGTGATGTGGATGAAGTCCTGTGGCCTGACCCAGTACGGAGACATGATGCTGTGGCTGAGTAATGCACTTATTTGTATATTTTTGTACTTTATTTTTACATGGGCTTACTGTACACAAGTGGCAAACGCATAAGATTTCTGTTTGTTTTTACAAGTGCTACATGTAAATGCACAAGATTTCTGTTTTGTCTTTTTGTACAAGTGCTAAATGCACAGGTTTTTTTTTGTTTTGCAACATGCATTTAGCCTACAGTGAACAATAAACATTTATTTCTCCAGCTTCATGTCCTGAGCATTGTGTTTTCTATTTTTCTACGTAGTGTTTAGTGACTGTTCAGTAGTGTTTTTTATTTTGATTGACTCGGGGCACGATTTGACAACATAGTTCAGTTTTGAGCACAGATTGAACTGTTTTGAGGTGAAAGTTTGGTTTTGCAAGAAGAGTCTGAGGTTTTGTGAATGTAGCTTGAAAATTGGGTTTTGTGTTCACAGTTAAGAGAAAAGGAGAGCAGCTTTCAAGAAATGTGTCTTAGCAATCGAGAAAAACTGTAAACTTGATTTAAAGCTAATCCATCCCTGGTGCCCAGTGGGAATATTCTTCCATCCTGCAGAGTGCAGACAGGGAGCTAGCCTGCGGTGAGCTGCTCTGACTGCCTGGTGGAGACACTGCTGTTTGATTCAATATTAATGCAGTTTGGGTCGCAGTGGGAGACTGAGTGACTGTAGCACAATAGTAAGCGTTTGTGTGTGTGTGTACGTCTGTGTGTGTGCGCACGCGTGTGTGTGTGTTAATGTGCATGTATGTGTGTGGATGTGTGTGCGTGCGTGCGTGAGTGTGAGAGAGAGAGAGAGAGAGAGAGAGAGAGAGAGAGGAGAGAGAGAGAGGAGAGAGAGAGAGAGAGAGAGAGGAGAGAGAGGAGAGAGGGAGAGAGAGAGAGAGAGAGAGAGGAGAGAGAGAGAGAGAGAGAGGAGCGAGAAAGAGAGATCAGTGTGTGTGCGTGAGGAGTGGTGGAGAGGGAAATATTGACCCACATTGCTGTAGGAATTGGGGGGGTTCTCTACAGGGACTGAGGTCAGAATCCCCTCCAGCAGGTCTGCAGTCTGCTACTTCAAACAGAGCCCACTGGAGCCCTATCCATTGAGCACTGAGATGGTATTTATAACTGCCTCCAACACAAACTGGAGTGTTGAGTGTGCACTGACTTCTTTGGGGAGCAATTTCAATAGAAAACCTCTAGTAGTACTTAGAAGCACCAAATAGAAAAATAAAACCAAATAGAAAAATATACAGCTTACCGTATGTACTAAAACGAGTATTAACTATGTATAAAGGTGAAATTAACAGTGAAAACATGAGGAGACAGGTTTAGATGCATAGGAGGGGGATTTGTCAGTCAGTTATTTCCCTTGTTGTCGCCATAACTACCTTCCTCTTCTCTATCTCTTTTTTCACTCCAATCTTCCTTTATTCCTGTTTTCTTTCACTCTCTCTGGTGTGTATGTGTGTGTGTCTGTCTGTTTGCGTGCATGTGCAGCAGAAATTTGTGTGTGTGTGTACATGTGCATGTACGTGTGTGTGATTGTGCTGAAGTGGCAGGAGCCAAGCTGTAGTGTTGTGTGTCTAATTACAGTGAGACAGAGGCCATTGATCAGCCATTGCAGTCAAATCTGTTTACTACGGTGGTCTAACCTCCACATGAGCACAACCATCATATTTGTATTTCACATCAAGACTACTCCAGGCCTCTCCTAAAGCACACACATACACTATACACTGTGTCTGCACTATAGACAGACTGGTGGTGGTTGTGATGGTGGTGATGATGATGATGATTATAGTTTTATATGGTCTAGAGTGGGCATATCATCACTGTAGTTAGCTTGGGCAACAGATGATAACAGATTCAATATCCTAGTTATGTGTGTAGTGTATCATTATTAACACAGCTATCCACTCTTATCCCTCTCTCCATCCAGCCCCTTCATCCCATTATGTTCAAGTTGTACACAGAGCTCTGTGGGAGACTTTTGACCCCGTTGTTTTATCGTCTCTTAGTCAGTAGGTGTCACTCGCGCTGTGCCTGGCCGTACCGGGCGCCATACTGGGCCTTGCTACAGGCGCTGGATTTAGTAGGCAAATCAATAGTGATCGATCGGTGAGGAAGGGGGCCCTGATTACTGAATCACGCTGTAGAAAAGAAGAAAATCAATCATTGCAGCTTTTAGAGCTACAGAAGACACAGAGCACAGAGACTGACATAAACTCACATAAACACATGCACGAAAAACCCATATTAGAATCATAATACAAATGTATTTGGCTTTTATTTTCGGCTTTCACGATGGTCTACTCTGCCCGGCCTACCACCCCACACCGTGGCAATTATTCTACCCGTTCACTACTTCTAACTGTGGCATCAGTGGAAGCCTCGTAATAAAATGTATAAATTGATAAACATGATTTTTTTTATTCAATATTTTTCAGTCTCAAACCTGACAATTGTATTGGATAATATAGCCTACATTTTGGCGTGTGTATAAGGTTAGGGCGACGTTGTGTTATATATGCAACTAATTTACAAACATGACAGAGTATACCCTACTCAATTAATCATCATCATTACCAATCAATACATTTGGGTCGGTGTAGTGTTTACCATAATATAGTCCTATGGGTGTTGCCTTTTGTCATGGTCACTCAAAACAATCCCACAATGCACGGGAAGATCATGACTTCAACACATTTGTATTGAACCCCAATTTAAAGTCTAAAATGTGAGTCCAAATAAAGTTTGATGTTATTGAATAACTTTTCTCTTTCTGTGGTCGTTAATATTCCTAGCATTGCAACGCACCAAAAAAGGTTAAGTGAAAGGCCCTGGGTGTTCAATATCGGTCGATAGAATCGTGAGTAATTCGTGTGTGAAATTCAGTTCGTCCAATTAATTATGCCTCGGAGGGAGAATGGGAAGGAAAAAGATTCATGAGTTTCGAGAGATGCTTATCGAATTGGTCAGTTGTAGGTTTTATTTGCTCAAATTTTGTGGAAACAATGGTCCTCATAAACCGTTAGCACCAGTTAATTGCACTTATAGGGGCGACTAGCCTGTTATTCCAACGACTTTCCTTCAACAGTCAGTTCCTGCCTGGGTTATCCAAAGGCCTCTCCCTCTCTTTTGTCCATTTTGTGCTGCGGTTCTATTTGTTCGAGAAAAACAACAGCCTACTAGGTCAAAATAAAATAGATGTTTATCTCTAGATATTGAAATCATATTGAATCTATGGAATTAACGAAATGTTGTAATGTGTTTTGGTTATTGGCACTGCAGAATGAATAGCCCATAGGTCTTTGATCATCTAGTCCAACATGTTACTAATGTCTAATAGCCATGGCTAAATATTTAATGACAACAGTCCTAAATGTAAAACACAGATTCCTTTAGGCTTACTGTTAATGTGTAGCCTATTGGTTGTTTATATGCTCTAGCCATAGACCACTGATTTAATGAATCTCCCAATAAACATTTTTACTGGCTATGGTTCAACATGTTCATACACACTATAAAGCCAACTTCAAGTTGTGCTTCCATTGCCCTTACAGAAAAGAACCCCAGGCCAGCCACTTCTCTCTCTACCTTATAGGCTCTGCCAGTTGGCATGTATCAGTGTCTTATCTAAAACTCAATTATTTCCCCCTTCTAGATGCCACAGAATCGGATGCACCTTTTCTCAAGACCTTGGATGGTGCTGTAAGGTGGGGCGTACAGTATTTTAAAGCCATGGATTTTGTTTTGACTTATGTTGCACAAAGATTTGTAGGCTGTGTATCGACTGGGCTGCACTTTAAAAGCTAGTTTGTACAGTATTTATTCAATTCAGACCGCAGGGCAGTGCCAAGGTTTCCCAATGCAAACTTTCAACTCAATACTCCTTAATGTAATGAGGCAGAGTTGGTGCTAATATACTGATAACTTGATACAATTTGTTTGTTTACCTTGCACACTGCCCCTCCCTGCAAGGCATTCCCGACAACTTCAATAACACTCACTCTGGACCATTTTGAAAGTCACACTGCTCAAAACACTTGTTGGGAAGAAGAATGGTTCTAACTGCAGTTCAGAATAAATTCACTGGTAGCCTACATTTTCATTTCTTAAGCATTTTTGTTATTTTTGGGGAGATACTTTATATTTTACCAGTCATTAGGCTTCCATTATATCTGAGCTCATCAAATAGATTTCTCTGTGTGCAAAATTCACCAATCAAATGTTGTTGTTTTTAGATGTTTGCTCTTTAATAAAAGTGAAGTGAGCACTTCCTTAATCACCTTTAGATAAATACCCTATATTTACCTATGCAGACCGAGAACCTGATATGATATAACATCTAAATAATATCATAATGACTGTGTAGTCAGCTCATTATGTGATAACACCTGTGTCATTCACAGCTGCAGAATGCCTTTAGAAACAGTGCTCAAGTGCTCAGATTATCGATGGAGACATGAATGTATACTTACAAGTAATGTTTAACTGAAGTCAAATGTGACAATGAGTGACTTGGAAAATGTTGTAGACCTCATGCTTACATGTATTGCTATGGCATATCATAATTGGCAACAAAAGTCAGTGAAAGTTGCAAAATGTAATATGGTGGCATTGTTCAGTAAACAGTCAGGCTGCTGAGCAAATTTAGGAGTGCCCATCTAAAGATGAGTGATATAAACTCAACTTTTGTTTTATGATTAAACATATTTATAATTGTGTGACACCTCCTTACTTTATATAATGTACTCTGACGTTTTGGTGTTTCCCTGATTAAGAAAGGCAATAACCGACGGATTATTTTAGTTAAAGAAGTGAACGTGACAACATGTCCGTAAGAGTGGGGTAATGCTAATATTGACTAACTTCGCTGAGATTGACTTGATCTATTATTTACATCATAATAATTATTATATTTTTTACATCAAGAGGTCTTCCGTGCCTGTGAGTGGATACCCAAATCCTAAATAACAGCAGGTGTATCTCTCAGTTGGACGCATTTGTTGAATGTAGGCCTACCACATCATAAGTAAATACATCATATGATAACAATAGGCCTATGGGATACGTTGTAAATTAATTGTGAATGTATTTGATGTATATAGCCTGATCATAGTACAAAGTTGCTTAATTGTGTCTCATTTAATTATTATACTTGAGTTACTAATCCCCAATTTCGGAAAAAGCCTGCCCACGCATGCTTCCAGATTGAAACTGGCATTTAAATAAATATGTGAGCGTGTGAAAACTGCCTCTGCAGCCTGGCTAGAGGTGTGTGCTCTGTCGGATTTGGAGTGAGGGGGGGGGGGGGGGGGGGGGGGGGGGGTATGGTGGGAGAATCGATAACTAACCGCACCGTGCACCCAACCGTTCTGCCTGGGATCGATGGCTTGAATGGGGCTGATCTGAAATTGGGTGCGGTGCGACTCTCTCCCGCAGAGGCCGGGCTACTGCAGGCGAGAAACAGTCACTATGTCAACCATGGACTCTTATCCATAATTACTTACTATTAATAACTGGCTTCTAACAAGTCATTGGGTCAATGTCTGAGGTGGACATGCAAGATGCACACCATCATCAGCTACGACTGACTCATTTCAAATCGTTATTATGGGCTGTTACTTTTAGTCTATTGCAATAGAGATTATTAAAGCATAACTTCATCGGCCTCCATGATTTAATTGCAGATATATTATGTTGATATTGTGAAGGTGGGCAGTCTGTTTTTGTGTGATCTTATTTCTGCAAATGTTTTGCATATAGCCTATCCTATTCTTACGTTGTTTTATAGCAACAAGTCTAGACATGTTGTTTAACAAAAGCATCATCAAACGATTTAGGTCTACAGGCCTCAACAATCAAACAAACAATGAAAAGCTGCAATACCTTGTACCAGAGCCTTTATTGAGGGTTGTTGTATTACTTTTTGAAATAAAATTAAAGAATTCGCCTACATCAAAGGTAAAATGTAAAGACAAATAAAAAAGGCAGAGTTATTTCATTGGCATCATGGATGACTTGCCACAACAGATCACGGATTAGTGAATATCGTTTTTGAGTGACTGTGGCCAGCAAAATCACTGTGTAGACAGACGGCTATTGTCAACATTGTGAAGGGCTCCTGTTAAAACGCATAGCCCAACTGTGATGTTTGTTTCTGTAAGCATAGCCTACTGTTCCTGGCATGTTCAGAACTGGTTGATTTGCTCTCTGGCACCATAAAACATGTACCTCTATTTATTAAGCCAAACCTTACTCGTTTAGTGTTTTTCTTATTTTCAGTGATTTATGGGACGGCCTGAACATTTTATCAGTGAAGCAGCCGGCTAATCGTCTCAAAGGTCGATCTTGATGGATGTAATTCTGCAGTTGTCAGCTGAAAAAAAAGTGCAGATGAGGACATGTATGGAAAATGTTATTCAATCAACGGCTGAAAATATGGCTAAATATTATGCAATAAAACCATAATCATAGTATAATTAAATAAGAAATAAAATACAAATACAAATACAAATACAAATACTACTACTACTACTACTACTACTACTACTACTACTACTAATAATAATAATAATAATAATAATAATAATAAATGTAATAACCAAGTCAGAGGAAATTAAATGTATCCAATATTTGATCATATAAATAACTAGTCTTTATCGAACAAAAGTGCAACATGGTAAAAGAGTTGGGCTTGAAGTTTATCAAAGCATATTTGGGTGTGTGTTGCGTTAATGAAATTGTCACACACACACACACACAAATATTAAATGTGTTGATTTTGATATTGAATCATTGAATGTGATATGAATATGTGATGTAATTATGTATTTGTATATCTTCTTCAAGCTACAATATTTTTAAATCTTTAGCCAATAGTGGATAAAGATGCCGGCTCAGCATAGGCCTTACTAATCAAAACGATAGCCTGGCTGAATGCCTGGCTGAATAGATATTCAAACATCAATTCAAATTCTTATGTTAGAATCCACTCCGTTTGTTTACATAGCATGTAATATAGCTTTGATTAATTAATCAATTGTTTTCACGGTCGTTT